TCGTAGCTGTTACTTATCACATGCACGTTACGGGCCCTGAATCCCAAGAAGAAACAGGCAGGGAGGTCACCGTTCATGCTACTTAGGGTTGATGTCCAGAGGGCTGTCCCCCCACAACACACCACCCCTACGAATCCTGCAGCTGAGGGGAGGAGTGGATTCAGTCTGTGCCCGGCTCTCCCTGCCCTCCAAGGGAGGGGCACGCATGGTGACCTTGAGCCTGGCCCGTGACCTTCCCAGGTGCATGCTGAGGTGCACAGCTGGGGGGCTTCTGGAGTGGGGGGGTGAGTGTGAGGTCACGGGGGGTGGAGACCGAGGGGCAGCTGTGCCTCCAGCCAAGGGGCGGCTCTGCCCAGATCTGCTGTGCCCACTGCTGGTTGCAAGGTCAGGGAGGGGAGGCATGACCCTGAGACCCTTCTTCAGACAGTGATGGGGCCCCCGGCTGACGCTTCGTCCCAGACAGGAAGGCTGGGTCCTTAGGGAGAACTTCCTTCTGGCAGGACTCACGGCCCTGACCCAGACACACAACCCCCGCTGCTCACTGGAGCCTTCTCTCCCGGCCCGTCTTAAGAGCGCTGCTCCCGACTTGAATCCCTCGTTGTGTTGGTGGTGGACGGTCTGCAGCCCCTTGGGCTCTAGCCAGCTCCAGAGTCATTAGCATCATGAAGTCGCGGGAAGCCGGACCCTGGAAGTCGGTACCAGAGGCCGCGGGAGCATCTCAGCCCAGAACCAGCTGCTTCTCACTGCCAGGCTCTGTCAGGGCCAGATGGCTGGGAGGCAGGCTGTCCAAGGACACGCTCACGCCCCTCCCAGGAATAAGGACGGTGGGGGGGCAGATGAGAATCTGTCCCTGAGTTCAGCTGACCCCGAGGCCCCTTGCTGGCCAGGACAGGTGCTGTGATGGGGACCGGCGGGGGGCGCAGCTGGAGGAGCCCCCAATGAGGGCACTGGCCCGCCCTCCTTGTGCAGAACGGCATCAGGACTTTTTTTTGCTGAAAAAACAGCAGCCTCCTTTCCCGGGTGGGCTTGCACAGGCAGCGCTGCCCTTGGGCTCCACCCACACACAGACTCTGACAGGCCTCCTCCCCTGCGGCCCCGACAGCCACGCAAAGCATCTTTGGTGGCTTCGGGAATGGAGGGTCGGGGGTGGGGGTGCGTGCTCGTCCAGGGACGTGGGTTGGCAGATGGGTTCCAGGTCGGGCTTGGTGGGGCTGGGGTCAGGGTTGAAGGGGCTGCTCAGCCGGCACCTGTCATCACTCACCGGCCGCAGGGACCCATCTTCTGCTCCCAGGACAGCAATGCCCGCAGACAGGAGCCCAAGGCACTCCTGAAGGATGCGTGGTTGGGGAAAAAAAGAACAGCGTTCAGGCCACCACCTTCAGCGAGGTGTGAGCAGAGGGAGGAATCAGGAGTGAAGAAGGGTCCGGCCCAGGAGTCACCGAGAACATCTGACGGGGAGTTCCGGGCTCCCCCAGGCTGAGACTTCCCCGTGGTGCCAGGCACGGGGCGGGGGCCGTGTGCTGAGGCCCAGACCCGCTGTCAGGAGATGCCACTCGGGGTCTGGTCACTCAGCCCCCGCCGGCCCTGTGTACTCCCCGAGCCCTGCCCTGTGCCCGGGATCGAGGAGGCTGAGAGGGACTCAGGACACAGGGTCTCTGTCTCTGGGGGCTTCCCGCCCACCTAGAGGTGCCCGGCACACAGGGGAGCCAGCACCAGCGCCCGGCGCTCGGGACACACGGGGGGCAGCGGGCGCGCGTCCCCACGCAGAGGCATCCTGTGATCACACGGCGCCCCGAGGACAGAAGCCGTCCCTGGTCAGTGCCCTGGGGCCGGGATTCTGCGGATGGCTCACTTATGCTTTGCTTTGATAGTGCTCCATGAAAGGGCATGACAACAGCTGTCCACTCGTCTGGAATTGAAGAGAGCAACTTGTCGTCTAGAAAGAGAGAAGGAGACATAGAGAGACAGCAGACACAGACAGACAGACAGACAGACAGATGCAGAGAGACAGAGAGAGACGGCCGCAGAGAGACAGAGAGAGACAGACACAGAGAGACAGAGAGAGAGAGACAGATGCAGAGAGACAGACAGACGCAGAGAGACAGGGAGACAGACGCAAAGAGACAGAGAGAGAGACAGACAGACAGACAGACACAGATAGAGACAGACAGACAGACAGACGCAGACAGCGTTGCAGGGGTGGGGCGTGTATTCCTCTTCCCGCCCCAGGAGGGCAGTGAGGGCCAGGGTCTCTCGGACGCTGCGCAGTCGAGCTGGGACCAGGCTCCAAGGCTCCCATGTCCGCCTGGACACACCCCACAGCAGGCCAAAGCACGCTGGGGAGGGTCCTGGCTTCCTAGAGCTCACTCTTTAGTGGAGAAACATATCAAACACCTACCGTACAATTAGCTGTTACTGAAATGATCATTTAAAAAAATCTTTTCTTTTTTATATCATTTATAGTTACAGAAAAATTGCATGAATGGTACGAGGTGCTCTCACATACGATGTGTCTTCTCTCTCCGTCACTGCATGCGTGCACACACATCTGCACCATATTTCCTGAACCATGTGACAGTAAGTTAGAGCCACGGGGCGGGCCCTTCGCCCTTATCGCTTTCTTGTCTGTGTGTTTTTTGTCTGTGCAGCGCAGCGGGCAGGACTTTGTTCCCTGACTGGTGGACAGGCGCTGGGAGCTCGGAGTCCTAACCGCCAGACCGCCAGGGAAGTCCCCCACCACCACCCCCGTATCAGCACTGAGCAAGTTCAGCTCTCACATCATCACAGTGCAGTGACCACAGTCAGGAGATGCTTCTGAATGAGGCATAGGCCTTATTCAAGTCTGTCCACCTGGGGCCGTGCATTCTCCAGAGGCCCACCCAGAAGTGGGGTTGTACCATTCTCAGTGCATCCTAGGAGGCAGATGCTGCCTTTTCAAGAAATTAACAAAAAAACCAACTCCTTGATGGCCGCCTCCATATTTATCACACCCAGAGTCCCTTGGACTGCAAGGAGATCCAACCAGTCCATCCTAAAGGAAATCAGTCCTGAATATTCATTGGAAGGACTGATGCTAAGGTTGAAGCTCCAATACTTTGGCCACCTGATGTGAAGAGCTGACTCATTGGAAAAGACCCTGATGCTGGGAAAGATTGAAGGCGGGAGGAGAAAGGGACAACAGAGGATGAGATGGTTGGATGGCATCACTGACTCAATGAACGTGGTCTTGAGCAAACTCCAGGAGCTGGTGATGGACAGGGAGGCCTGGTGTGCTGCAGTCCATGGGGTCGCAAAGAGTTGGACACGACTGAGCGACTGAACTACAACAACTCTTCTATACCCCTCCAGATGGGAATCTCTGTCTGGAGCAATTCCTTCATCCCAAAGAACTTTCCCCAATACTTCTTACAGTGCAGGTGGTGAATTCTCTGTTTATATGTGAATATCTTTTTCTGCTTTCATTTTGGAGGATATCGTCACTGGATGTACAATTTTGGATTGACATGTCCTCAATCCCACACTTTCTGTCCCCATCACTTCTAGGAAGCACTTTTGTTTCCTTGCAGGCAACAGATCTGTTTGAAGAGTTTTTTCTTAGTCTTTGGTTTTTGGTGATCTAATCATGCTGTGCCCAGGAGTTGTTTTCTTTCATACTTCTTCTACTAGGAGTTGGCTGAGACGCTTAAATCTGTAAGTTTTCTGTTCTTCACAAACTTAGGGGAAGTTTTCAACATTAGTCCTTCAAGTCTTCTGTTTCTGGCCCATTCTCATAAAGAGATGTATGTTCTATCTCTTGATGTTTCCCCACTGGTTGTGGAATCTCTCTTCATTTTTTTCAGTACTTTTCTGTCTCTTCTCCAGAGAGGAGAGTTTCTATGGCTCCACATCTCAGTTCACTGGCCCCTTCTCCTGCCATTTTCCATCTGTTATTAACTCCAGCCAGCAAGTGTCACAGTTTAACACATTCAGTTCTTTAGTCCTAGAACTGTCTCTTTACTCTCTTCTATACTTTCCATTTGTTTATTGACGTTTTCCCCCTATTCATTTTTAATGAAATAATCTCTTTTTAGTACTCAAATATATTTATAGTAGCTGCTTTAACTCTTTGTCTATTTCTAACACCGGGGTCTTTTCGAAGTCAGTCTTCCTGAACTATTCCCCTCCCCTGTTTATAGGTCACACTGCCTGGCTTATTCACGTCTCATCATTTTTGTTGTATGCTTGACATTGTTGATACTTTGAGAGTCTGGGTGCTTTTCTCTTTCTAGAGAGAGTGTTGAATTTTGTTCTGAGAAGCAGCTCGTTTACTGGCAGATGAGCTGATTCTCAGACTTGGTTTTGAGTTTTATTAGATGGGCTTACAGAGGGAAAGATTGAAGGTGGGAGGAGAAGGGGGCGACAGAGGATGAGATGGCTGGATGGCATCACTGACTCGATGGACATGAGTTTGGGTAAACTCTGGGAGTTGGTGATGGACAGGGAGGCCTGGCGTGCTGCAGTCCATGGGGTCGCAAAGAGTCTGAACTGAACTGAACAGAGATTCTTCCTCCAGGGCGGGGTTAGTCCCGCTCCTAAGGCACAGCCTTTCCAGGCTGTCAGTTGAACGCCTGGGAATTTCAACAGACTTTCCCTGTTCCTGCTGGCTGTGTAGATCATCTCCCTGAATGTGCAGCCAGGCATTCAGAAGATATCATGGGACCCTGTGTGGATTTCAGAAGCTCCTACTTGGACCACCTCTCTGCCCCTAACTCTAACTGCCTTGCCAGCCTCAAATTCCAATCCCTGCATTCCCAGCTCAGCAAAGCTACGTTATCTGTCTGAGCAGTCACCCCACGTCATCTCAGACGGGAGGACTCCATGAACAGAGTCCAGGCGGAACCTCTTGGGGGTCCAGAAAGTGCCACGGACAGGAAGCCGGTGGCCGTGGGACAGGTGTACCCTCCACCTCTCAGCGTTCCGGTCCCACTGGTGTCCAGTCAGGGAAACTTCATGGTCCTACTTTATCCAGTTGTGTAGGTGTTGACAGCGAGAGGGCGAGACGACGCCATCGCGGCCAGAGGAGGAGGTCCTGCTCGATGAGCTTGGGTTAGAGCTGCGGTCTGTGCTGCAAGGGGGAGAAAGCGGGGCGCTTGCGAGGTGCAGACGCGTTGCAGGGCCAGGAGGTGCTCCCTAAATGGGGCTGGAACCTGAAGGGTGTGTGTGTACGAGTGTTCTGCACACACACGTACGCACACGCACACGCGATGAGCAGAACCACATTCTCGGTAGAGCAACAGCATCTATGAAATGTCCTGTGTCATAAAGGGCTTGGTGTGTTCCCGAAGCTGGAAGGCCAGTGTGAGCGGCTCCACACCCAAGGTGGGGGGGAGGCAGGGGACAGAGCGGCATCCCCCCCCCGCATGCGCCCCTGCTTATTCCACGCCTCGCCCACTCATTGCGGTTGATGCACACCTGTTACCATTCCTTCTGTGCCTGTGACATGGGAGAGGAGGCTGGGGACGCTGGGGATGAGCAGAGGTGCAGGAAGGTGCCTGGGCGCTAAGACGGGAGGCATCTGAGAGCATCCAGGCGCCGCGGAAGGCTGCGGGGTCCAAGCAGCGGTGTGGCTCTGTGTGCCATGGGCTAGCGTCCTTGTGGCCCCGCATGAGGTGCCTCGGGTCAGGAAGCCAGGCTCCTTCGTCACGCCCGTCCGCAGGAGCTCCTGCTGTCTTCGCCCAGGCACTCGCCTCGGCTGCATGGCCCCAGGATGGGCTGCTCCCTGAGTGGCAGCTTTTCCAGCCGAGGACCCCGAAGCCCTGGGTGAGGAGGCTCCTGGGCACCGTCTCCAGGTCTCAGAGGCCCCTGGCCATCCGGGACCAAGGCGCCTGACCCCGCAAGGGCAGCGGCCCTTCCCCTCCCAGAGGGACCCTGATTCTACAAAGTCCGGTGCTTGGCAAGGAGTGACGGACACTCCAGCACCAGGTTCGCTGACGGCAGGGCAGGGAGGCCCAGGTCACAGGCAACCAGGGCCCCGGAGACACCCTCCCGTGGGCCAGCAGGGGTCCCCACCTCTGCTGGACTCGGGAAGGAGCATGGCCACGCGTGCCTGGAGTCAAGGGCTGGGGGAGGACATGCTCACAGTGGAAACGTCTGCTGGAAACTCGCAGATCTTCCTGGGACTTGAATGAGGCCTCGGGCCCACTTCTGAGCCTTCATCCCCTGAGGCCAGGCAAGACCAGGATTAGACGACCCCCACGCTTGAGGCAGTTGTGGTGGTTTCTGCTGAACTAGAAGCTGCTGTGAGCAGAGTCTCAGCACCCCCAGCCTGAGAGCCCCTGGGCCCCGGGGGCACGGGGGAGGCGTACCCACCCCAGGCAGAGGTGGGCACCGAGCCGGGGGCACAGGGAGCTGGAGGCTGCTCTCAGCCAGCGCGGTCCAGTGGAGAGCCTGTCCGCGGCTGCTGGGAAAACTCGAGTGCTGGCTGGGGCCTGAGTGACAGCAAACCGTCAAAGAGAGCGTGAAAATGCAGCCGTGCTCTGCACGCCGCGGGGACCAGCCCCCAAGTGAGCCCGGACACGGGCCGTGCCCGTCAGGAGTGGAAGCGCCGTTTCGGGTGAGCTCACGGCGTCCCGAGCCCTGGTGACAGAACGGCTCCTTACTGGCTCCAGGCCTGTGTGGACAGCGGCCTGCCCTGCCCTGCCCTTGGGTCCTGGAAGCCAGTGCGGGGTCAGGGGCTCCTTGAGAGGGCGGAAGGCAGGGCGGGCGGGCCCCGACGGGCACTCAGGACAGACGCGTCTGCGCTGTGCTCTTGAAGGTGTAACGGGAGGTGGGGGCACCTCGTTACCCCTCCTCTCACCTGCGCACAGGCTCGTGGGAGACGGCAGCTGGGAGCTCCCTGACCTCCAGTGCCTGCACCCCCGCTCGCTGGGCAGGACTGGGGCGCCTTCCCAGGGCGAGCTGGGCACACCCACGCGTCCAGCTCTCTGCCCAGGTGTCTTCCCACCCGGGCAAGGCTCCGCTCTGAGGTCCCTCCCGCTCAGGTGCGCTGTGCCCGCCCAGGCCTCCAGGTGTGGTCCTCCTGGGACATGGCGCGCTTGACTCTGCACCCTTGCAGGCCCACCGCTGCGCTACACGGGGGCGTGGACCCACGACGTGTGGGCGCCGGGCCCCGGGGTGGCCTCCCCAGGTCAGGAGCTCCGCGAGCCGCAGCCACCCTAGGACTGAACTGAAGGGGGCGCCTCTGACGTCAGGATGGGCCCCCCCCCCCACCCCGGGCCCACCTGCAAGTGGTCCTGCCTTCTCGGGGCATGGCCGGGGCTGCCCAGGCCGGGTCATGGGTCACTCCTCACCTGGCGTCCTTCCAGAAAGCTGGCGTTCCAGGTGCTCAGGAAATCCACGTGTCCGTCTGCGGGGGGTGCGAGTGTCCCCCAAAGGGGTGTTCAAGCCCTGAGCCCTGTGCCTGTGAACGCGGCCTTACTGGTGACAAGGCCTTTGTGGAAATACTTAAGACATCAGTTAAGGGGCCGTGAAGCTGGCTTAGGGCAGGCCTAATCTGCCTGCAGTGCGGGAGACCTGGGTTCCATCCCTGGGTAGGGAAAATCCCCTGGAGAAGGGAAAGGCCACCCACTCCAGTGTTCTGGCCTGGAGAATTCCATGAACTGTGTAGGCCATGGGGTGGCAAAGAGTCGGACTCGACTGAGCGACTTTCACTCACACATTCACCCGCCGTGTCTGGCGTCCACAGGCGGACACCCGGAACAGAAAAGGCCGTGTGAAGGCCAGACACGGGGAAGGGGAGTGGCAGGGCCTGGAGCCACGCGGCCACCAGCCAAGAAGCCCAAGGCCTGCCGGCGACAGGCAGGGTGGGGTGCCTGCAGGGAAGCTGGCTGCTGACGGAGAGTTTGGATGGCCAGCCTCCAGCCCTGGGAGAGAGGGCATCTTTGCTGTTTAAGCCTCCCGGTTGTGGGCGTTCATCCGCGGGGACCTGGGACATCGTTACATGTGTATCTGGAGACCCGGCTGCCGCACCAGCCTTGAAGACAGCCTGTTGGAAAATGGCCACGGTTCCTTGGACATGCTTTACTTTCTCTGCCTTGGATGATCAGAGCCAAGCCTGCCCCCTGCCCTTGCCCCCTCCTCAGAGGCAGCCATGGAGCTGGGCCCCAGGCAGGGCTGGGACACACCACAGGGCCTTAGGGGACCGGCTTGTGTGAGCCAAGACCAGGAAGGCTGCTGGGTGCCCGGTCTGAGCTGGAAACGGAGATGTGAGAAAGCGAGGCCCAGGGCTGGGGAATCGGCCTGGCCGGAGCCTCTGTGCCTGCCGGAGAGGGGCTCCGTGGGGCTCAGAGCACAGTCCTGGGGGCCTGGCGGTGCCTGGGTGTGCGCCCTCCCCAGGTGGGCCGGTGTCCCAGGGCTGCGGAGACACGGGCAGTGTGCCTGTGAGTCCCAGGGCCTCGGGCCAGCGGCCTGACCCCTGAGAGTGGTTCTGCATCCGCAAATGGAATAATTAACAGCAATAACAATGCTAATCTGAGTGACGGTGGTGTCTCCTGCAGGAGCGTGCTGGTTAGGTTGACGTGTCCTCTAGACCGGGACACGGGACCCCGAGGTCTGCTTCAGCACCGTCCTGGGAGGTCCGTGAGGGGTTTCTGGACGAGACTAGCATTCAAGCTGATAGACTGAGTGAAGTGAGGACCCTCCCCAATGTGGGTGGCCTCATCCACCCGCTGAAGACCCCCCACCGAACACAGACAGAGGAGGGGCCAAGGGCGCCCTGCCCGACCCCTGCGCTGGGGTGCCCCCCTCAGCTGCCTTTGAATTGAACCTGAACTGACGCCGTCAGCGCCCCTGGTCTGACCACCGGGCTCAGGACTCCTCAGCCTCTGTGACTGTGGGAGCCAGTTCCTTACGACAGATCCCTTTAGGTGTATTCATCTTTGGTCAGTCTCGCTTCTCTGACTCACTGAAAGGAGACGGTGGGGTCGGGGGGCACTCAGGCAGAGGGAGGGGCAGTGAGCCCGCCTCCAGCAGGAGCAGCCGCTGCCCTGGCTCCAGCGGGTCCTTCCCATCGCTGGTTGCCTAGCAACAAGACGGGCATCACCGATACCTCCAGGGATGGTCTGAGGGTGAAACAGCATAGTCCAGGGGCCAGCAAAGCCGAGAGCCAGAGCTGGCCTGTTTGTGGAAATGGGCCATGCCCATTTGTTCACCTGGCGCGGCTTTGTGCCGCGATGGCAGGGCCCAGGCGTCCTGCGGGCCCTCCACGTTTACCATCAGGCCCTTTCCAGAACGCGCTTGCCCACCCCGCAATGATATCACAGCCTCGTGAGGGGTCTGCCCAGGCCACGTCCTGCAGGTGGGGGTGGTTTGCTCCCTGGCCGCACACGGGTGCCGGGTTTCCCGGTTCTAAGGGCCCCCCTGGGCTCACTTGGGGGTCTCCGTGGCCATCAGGGCCAGTCCAGGCCTTGCTCTATCAGTGCCCCTCCTGCCTCCTCCCGTGGACCTTGCTGCCCCCTTGGCAGACACGCCCCCTGGCAGAGGTGTCATCTGTTAGTGAAGGCGAGTCTGTGTGGCCTGTCCGGGGGACCTCTCTCTCCTGCAAGGACCCCCGGAAAACAACCATCTAGTTTAGAGCCAGCCAAGCCTGCAGTCCTGGGGGTGGGCCCCGCAGACTGGGCGCTTGTCCACCATCAGAGGCCGGGCGCCCTGGGGGCCCCTGTGATTGCTACATGCATGGCTGTGTTGCAGGACGGCCTTGCATGGCAAGCAGCGTGGGGCCTGTGGGCCTCGCGGCTCTATGGACTGGCTGCTTAGAGTGGTCTCCAGGCTCTGGGGCACCGGGGTGGCCCCTGGTGGTCTGTTGCCCGGCTGCGGGGCGATCGGGAGGAGGTGTGGTGGCCCTTGATGCGGGAGTGTCGGGAGTGGACCTGAGCAACTGCCAGGACCTCAGATCTGGATGAAGACAGCACTTCCAACAAAAGCCCTGCCTGCCCTAGCGCCTCCAGACTCTGCTGTGGACGGGGGTCTTCACAGGCTGGTCAGGCAGTTACAGACATGCCTCACGCCCCCCCAGGGACACTGTCTACTGTCCCTCACAGGCTCACTGGTGCCCCAAGGGCGCGCCCTTCCCTGACCCCCCACCCCGTGGATTTCAGCTCTGCCGTCCCTCTCGGGAGGCATGGCCTCTCTGCCCGCAAGCCCTGGCCTGCTGCCTCCATCGCCCTTCTCAGCGGCTGCAGTCCGGCCCTGGAGGCCTCCTGTGGCCATTTCTTATCCACCTGCCCCACGCTGTTAATTCCGGGATGACAGGGCTGTGTCTTGCCCGTCGCTCTTTGCCTGGCACGCAGCTGGCACCTGCAAGTTGCTGACAGAGTCAGAGTGAACCCGGGTGGCCAGAGGCCCCAGGGGAGCGGCTTCCTGAGATAGGGTCTCCCAGCCCATCTCCACGAGAGAGGACGCCTCTGTCGGGGAAGCCCCGCAGTGTGAGGGGGCCAGCTTCTGCGGCCTGGGTCTTCTGCTCCTTGGAAAAGAGGATCTTCCGATGGAAACACACCTGGTTGTTATTGAAGTGAAGCAGACACAGGACTGCTGGAATTTTGACACAAATAACAAAACGCCTTAAGTGTTTTACTTTCCGAAGGCGGCACCTGGATATGAGTGTCAGAGCCCTTCTCGAGCAGGAGAATGTCAGGAGCTGATTGATCAAAGTGAAAAATGGCACAAGAGGCCCCCAATGGAGAAATTCTCCTGATAAGCATTTCAATGCCTTCCCAAATTGATTTTAGATACCAAGATCCCTGAGAAAGTGGAAATTTACAATCTTGCTGCTGAAATTCCTTCTCCAGTCTATCATCGGCTCAACAGATGCTGTTTCTTCAGGCTACCTTTAATAGCCCCAGAAATTAAATTAGTGGAAAATGGAGAACTCCCATAATATTAAAAGTCATCCATGGCTTCAGGAATCTGGTGAATTTCCATCCACAGAGGCAGTCCCCTCTGACAAGAAGTGGAGAATGAGTTTCTACCGTAAAATGAAAATGCGGGTCCGTCCCCGCCCGGCTCTTCCTGCTTCCCTGCTGGTTCAGACAGTGAAGAATCTGCCTGCAGCGCAGAGGACCTGGGTCCGACTCCGGGGTGGGGAAGGGATCTCCTGGAGGAGGGAATGGCAACCCCCCCCAGTGTTCTTGCCTGGAGAGTTCCATGGACAGAGGAGCCTGGTGGGCTACAGTCCTTGGGCCGCAAAGAGTTGGACACGACTGAGCAACTCACATTTTCAGCTTGGCTCTTTGGGCCACACCCAGGGGCTAGGGCTGCGGCTGGGGTCCTGCCTCCCCGCACCAATCCAGAAGGGCCGGTGTGTCCCGGCTGTAAAGACGGAATGCTGGGTGGGTGAGGGGCGACCCAGGACCCCAGCAGGCGTGGTGTCGCGCACGCCCGCCCGTCTGGAGTCGAGGAGAGGGCGCCACTTTTCTGCGGTCACTCCGTATGTCCGGCTCCAGACGCAGGGCGCGCTCCCCAGGGACGCACAGGCGTCCCCGTGTGCGTCGAGGCTCAGGGCCGCCCAGTCCACAGCCGGCAAGGGACACAGCTGAGCCTGTGTTTCTGGGACCCTAGACCCAGGCACCTCCCCTGCCCAGGCCCGAGCCTCACAGGCCAGGGCCTCTTCCCGCCGGGGGCCAGCGCCCTCCTACACGCCTCCTTCCCAGCATCCTCACATTGGCCCTGAACCTCAGAAGGCTCCCTGATGCCACCATCCATTCTCCCGCGTCCACTCCCACCGTCTCGCTAAGCCACCTGCTGCTTGGAAACCCGCCCCGTGAAACCCTCCCCACGGGGTTTTTCAGGGACCACGATGACCTGGACCGAGGCAGGTCTTATAGCCGCAGCCCCACACCCCAGCTGTCCTTGAGTGAGCTCAGGAGTGCTGGGTGAAGCCTGACTCTGGTTTCTGGAAGAGTCAGGGTGTGCCTTGAGGTGTGGCTGGCCAGCCCCGGCTCCCACTTGCGCTGTGTGGGGGGTTCAGTTTAAAAATCCGTGAGAAGAAAGTGTGTCCTACTTCTCTCCGGAGGAACTTACTTCTATTCGTCACATTTGCGTTCCTGTTTTGTTCACCCAGTGGGTTGTGATTTCCTCCTGTCTCCTGCTTGGGATCTGAGCTAAGTCATCTTTAAAACGGGGCTGAGAGACCACCCCCCGCCCCCCACCTCTGCAGAGGCTGCTTCCAGCCCGATAAACCTGGGTCCACAGTCACACACACGGCGTGGGGAAATTCGAGCTGAGACGAGGTACGATTTGCCAAACACTGGGGTCCCAGCTGACTGTGCTGTGAGAAGGGGAAGCTTTCTCCCTCTGCCTTTGACAGGAGGCGAAGCCCCCAGGCCCCCTTCCAGGCCCCTGGCCTCTCACGCCCTCTGCCCCAGGGCGGGGCTGCCGTCCACCCTACTGCTTGCCTGCTGGGCTCCCCTTGGCCTTGCTGGCGTTGGCAAGGAACCTGGTTCTGTTGCATACCTGCTGCGGGGCGGGGCGGGGAGGCTGTGAGTCCCGAGGGGTCCGTGTGCATGAAGAGGGACCCTCCCGGACCTCTCTTGAGGTCAAGGACTAGGAGACTGCTCTCGGCTCCTCCCAGGCTTCGAAGCAGCGTTTCCAGCCACAGAAGTGGGGCTTCTGGGGTCACAGCCACCCAGGAATCTCACAGCATCTGAGACTTCAGAAGAGGTTCTGGGAAGTTGAATAGGGAACAAGGTATTTCTTGCACTTCCCCCAGATCCTTTCTAAACACCTCCCGTTTCTTCCATGGATTCCTTCCCCGAGGCAGCAGCGAGGAGCCAGGCAGCTGCACACTAGAGCCTCCTTCACCCACCTCCCCTCCATGCTGAGCTGGCAGCCGGCTCCATTCCTCCAAAGGCGCTGGTTTGGGCGTTTCTGTGGGGAGGACAGAAACGCTTACGTTTCTCAGCCGGGCCGTGCGGTCCCACCCCTGCCCGGGCAGTGGAAGGTGCCCGAGACCCAGTTCCCCAGGGTGCACACGCCACACAGATGCTCCCCTCAGCCGCGTGATCTGCTGGCCGGGGAAGGACAATCTCTGGGCAGCGGTGGGAGCCTTGTTCTCAGCTGACCTCTGCCCCCGTCTCCCTGCTGAGAAGTCGGGGAGCTGCCTGGCCTGTGGCCACTGCCAGCTCCTCATCTGCCTGCCCTCCCCAAGGGGGCTCTGGTGCCCAGACGCAACAGGACAGCGTGTACCTCGGGGTCAGAAGGCTGGCTCCGAGCAGACCCACATCCCCCTGGCCCCTCCGTGATCACTGGCACACAGCTTAGATCCCCTGAGCCTCAGTCCCCTCACCTATAAAACGGCACATAGCTCCCAGGTCATGAGCGCATTGAGCAGATGCGTGGATGTATTTCATCTTCTAACTGAGGCTCCCAGAGGCTTCTGGGCCCAGTCACAGAGTGATGGCGCCTTGCTCCTCTGCGTTTCTCTTGCCTCTGCCTTCTCCGCGTGTTGGCTCTGACCTTGGGCTGACTGTCCTCATGGTCACTGTGTAGCTGCCAGGAGCTGCCCCTTGTCCTTGCATCCCTCTTCTCACCTAGGAAGACTGAGAGCACGTCGCTTCCTATGGAGGAACATGAGCTCTGAGGTTCACTGTGATCGGCCAACCCCGTATTGAGGGGGAGGGGTCTGTGCCTGCTCACACCTCTGGGCCCCTCGGGTCCGTGCGTGCGGTTGGCCTGCTGTCTGGTGGGGGAGGAGGAGAAGCAGTCACCGAGACCCTTGGTGTTAACCCCTCAGCTGGAGGGCTCTTGACAGCATGCCTGCCATAGTCGATGCCATCAGCACCACGGTCCTGGCTGCACCTACTGCCCTTTTCTTGCGGGTCTGCACCCCAAGGGGTGAACCTGTGGCCTTGGCCTGAGAGGGAGATGGCAGCCTCAGCTGTGACCGAGGGCTCCAGGCCTCTTGGGTCTTCATGGGTTTCTTGGTTGCAGAGACCCATGCAACAGGCTACGGGCAATTCTTTTCCTTCTTTGCAGATTAAAGCGTGTCAGTCAGTCAGTCATTTCTGACCCTCTGTGACTCCGTGGGACTGTATCCTACCTGACTCCTCTGTCCGTGGGATTCTCAAGGCAAGAACACTGGAGTGGGTTGCCATGCCCTCCTCCAGGGAATCTTCCCCACCCAGGGATCGAACTCAGGTCTCCCACATCGCAGGCAGACTCTTTACCATCAGGGCAGATAAAACCACTTATTTCCACGTCTACACGCACGCTCTCGTTCCTCTCGCTGTTGTCCACAGTGACCAGAGGCAGCCTCGTGTCCACGGCTCACCCTTGCTTAGCTCCGGATTCGGGTTTCCTGTTCTGGGGGTAACAGTGAGGGTGAAACCTGTGTTTCTCCCAGTTCTGCCTGGCATCAAGACATGGCATTCACTGCACTTAGAGTCAGAGACTGGGGGGCAGAGCCTCCTGACGCCTCCCCAGGGTTCTGCGCCCCACGTCTGTCAGCCCCAGGAGCTGCCGGCTTTGTGAGCAGCATTCTCCACACTCCAGGGCCGCTCAGCAAAACCTCCCGAATCTTGCCCTGTTCTGCAGGAGAGAAGCTGATGGGCATGCCATGGGGGTCTCCAGTCGGGCATTTCTTTGTTTTTTAAGAATCCCTTTCTCCTGCACGCCGTTCTTCTGGGCTGGCCTAGGACCCATGCTTCTGTCAAGCCGGGCGAAGTTCTCCCCCTGGCTGGGCTGGGGCAGGCGGCAGGACTTGGGACACTGTGACTCACATGGAACATCCCCCCACTCCGACCCTGATGTCCCCTGCTCCTGTGGCAGCCGGCGGAGAGGCTAAGCCTCGGAGATGGGTAGTGGCTCCTAAGACAGCCTCTGGGGCCCCATCCAGTCCTGCAGGGGCTGGAGAAGGATGGGGGGCCTTTCCCCGGGCCACTGACCACACAGTGTGGGCTCCTGGCCGGTGACGGTGGTCTAGATATGGATGCCCTCCCCGTGGGGGTGGCCCTCCCCACGGGGGAGCCCCCAGCAGGCCACCCTGTGGCCCCACGTGGAGCCGCATGGAGACAGCAAGGGGCTGAATGAGCCCACATTTCAGCCGCCTCTCCTCGCTCACTCATCGACCAGGGACACCTCCCGGAAAGCACGAGATTTTCCAGAGATGTGAATTTTGCTAAAAATAGCCCCCCTTCCCTCAGGCCTCGGAGCCTGACTTCCCCCTCGCGTGTTTCTAAGGCATTGAGTGACGATACTGCGGCTTCTGGGGCCCAGTGGACCCGGGCTGCTGGGGGCTACCAGCAGGGGCAGGCACCCAGGTCCCAGGGGCCACATGGAGCCCCTGTGGGCACGGCCACTGCAGCTGCGGTGGGCTCCTGGGAGGGGCTGAGCGCCGGCCTCCCCCAGGAAGGCTGTGTTGTGACATTCCTGCAGGGCCACTAACAGCCACAGGAAAACACTAATTAGCGTGTCAGAGAGGGTGTAGCTTGTCAAAACTATGAATCCTTGAATTCCATCACCCGCCCAGGCGGTGGGCAGGATTCAAGCGACGCTGGTCCTGTGGGAACGGGGTCTGTGGGGCAGGGCTCGGGGGGCGTCTAGCGCCTGCCCACCCCTGGTCAGTGCCTGGGGCCCTTTCTGAGGACGCCCTTGCTGGGCTGGGCTGGTCTTGCTGGGGAAGGGTGAAGGATGTTGCTGGGGAAGGGTGAAGGATGAACGTGATGGAGGGGCTCCCTGGCCAGCAGAGGGGGAGACGCTGCAGGCTCTGTCCATCCCTTGGTAGGCGTTCAAGAGCCACCTGGCAGGACATCAGAGTGCTGGGCTCTGGGGCACCAGGAACAGGGCCGTCGCCAGCTGAGACCGCGCCAGCTGAAGCCCAGTCCTGCCTCGGGCGGGTGCTTGCAAGCTTCACTGTGCACTCAGATGCTTGGGTGTTAGACATCGTTCTGCCGGTCCACAGGCTCGCAGGACCGAGGGTGTCCCTCAGGCCTCAGTCCATTCGCCTGCAAAACAGCAGCCGTCATGCCCATCGCATCCACGTCTGTGAGGATTCCAAGGCCTGGGGCACCTGCGCAGGTGTTAAGGGGACGTACCTGGCTGGGCCGGGACTGGGGGCTCCTGCGGGGGGAAAGGCAGCCCGTCCAGGTGCTCCTCTGGCCCAGCGCTGACCGGGCGCGTGGAGCAGCTTCTCAGACGCTCCTCCTGGAAGCAGGCACTGTCTCAGGTTCTGGCCCAGCAGCCCGAGGCTCAGGGCCCTTCCAGGGCTGGGGTGGTGTGAGCTAGGCCAGCTCGCATGCTACGGAAGCGGGCCCAGGCGGCCCCCTTGTCTCCTTCTGCCGGAGTCTGCGCACAGCCCAGCCGCACCCCTCCCGGCCCCTGCGGCCCTGCGCGCACCTCTGCTCCGGCCACCACCTGCGGGCTGGCTCCAGGGCCGCTCGGGCCGGGCGGATGGGCAGGGCAGGCAAGGGTGTGAGGGGCCACGCTCCCGAGGACGGACGGGTGGACACCTCTGAGGTCTCTGGGGGGCTGAGCTTGGCCCTGGGCGGCGGCCGCTTGGGCCAAGTGCACCACAGTGCCCGGGAAAAGAGCTCCTCCGTCTGACGCTGGGGTGCCGGGGACAGGTGTGCAGACCCCCGATCTGGCCCCGTACCACCTCTGTGTGCCACCCTGTCCATCTCTGAGTCTGCCTCCGGGGCCTGCAGCTCAGAGCTGGGGCCTCAGCCCCAGGCCTCTCCGCGGCTTCCTCCCTGACCTCCCGCTTGGCCTGCACCCACCCGCCCGGGGTCCTTCCAGCCCCTCACCAGCTGTTCCCACTGGCCACAGAGCCAGAGAGGGGGGTAGCCCAGCCCCAGGTGCTGAGGCAAGCAGGGAAGCTTCCGAGGCGTCGCCAGACAAATGAGAGGCATGGGCCCCCACCCCCCCACTTCTCCCCTGAACAAATGAGCTGCCTCTCGGCGGCCCGAGGGAGATCTGTCTCTCTCCCAGCCAGGCAGCCGCCAAGCTCTCAACACGCGAATCCGTCTCCATCTAGGGGCGCACACCTAAATTTATAGACCGCTGTGACACACCCCCTCCCAGGAACATCCGTTAGCAGCAATAAACACGGGCTCCCGCTTTGTAGACAGATGCCCCGGTTGTGGAATTCAAAGCCACAGCTGCGGAGTCACAGGCAGACCTGGAAAGGCAGCGGAACCCAGCATGCCCAAGCCCACCAGGTCTGGCCCGGCTCCCCCTGCCCCACCTGTGGTTACTTAGCAACTGTGCTGGCCTGACCACCCATCACAGGCTCAGAGGCCCTGGGCAAGCCAGGTGAAGGAGGTGGGAGTAGTCATGGGGGGAATTAGCCTGAGCCTTGGGGCCCCCGAACCCCTGCTTCCTGGCTGGGAGCCTGGGGCTGAGAAGGAGGATGGTAGAAGCGCTTCTCAAGGCAGCCAGAGCCTTGGATGCCAAAGCCGGCAGGAAATCAGCTCACGGGGCTCCCAGTGATGCCTGGGAAATGCCCTCTGCCCCCTCCCGCCTTATCAGGCTGCTCATGGGCCCTGAGTGCCTTAGGGACTGGGGCATGAATTCGTGAACCCTGGTCTTTTCCTTGGGCTTTGCAGACCCTCTGGAGGGGCCCAGGCTCCATGGTGCTCCAGGGACGGTCAGCCTGCACCCCTTGGGAAGGCCCCCAGATGGAGGAGAGGAGCTGCGCCCTGGCTGCTCTGACCTGGGGGCCAGCAACCCAGGGGCCTCGCTACCCCCAACCTGGCCTCACTGCCCCACACCCGCTGAGTGCCCCATGGGCATGCACCTCCTCCCAGCACCCCCACAGCAGTGAGGCATCCAGGAGGCACACCAGCCCCAGATCGGGGTCGGTCCGCCTCTCCCTAGCCTGTTCTGCTCCAGCCAAGCCCAGTGTTTGCACTTCTAACCATCCTTTTACACGGCTTCGAGACCCTGTCTGAGGTTAGCATTACCCAGGTTCACCAGCACGATCCTGACTAGGAGAGGTGTGTCTGTCTGAGGTGTGAGTGGGGGGCAGGACCAGGGCGTGGACGCAGGACCACTCTGCCCCTTTCCACCACCCACCCCCGACCCTGGACCCTCGGCTCTGGTCCCAGCTACAGAAGCAGCGCTGCTGATTCTGAGGGGCTCCCGCCAGGCCTCCAGGCCACAGAGTAAAGCCGTCACCAGGATGATGCCGGCAAGGCAGGTGGCACACGGGCCGTCAACCCGGGCTCTGATGTCAGGGACACTGCCGAGTCCCACAGCCTCACCTTGGGAGCTGGCAGTGCAGGCTTCCTGGGTACCTGCCCTTCCCGGGTTGGCTCTCGAGGAGTCTGTCGCCATCCAGCAGGTCTCTCTGTGCCACTGTGATGACGAGTGGGCTTCTGGGCTGGAGAGAAACCACCCTTCATCACCATGATGTAAGGATGAGCTCCTTGAAGACATCTGGATGCCCAAAAGACATCTGGAGACAGTTACCACAGGCCTGGACCCCTTCCTCAGTCCTCACCCTCAGTCCCCTCCCTCAGTCCTCCCCCTCAGTCCTCACCCTCAGTCCCCTCCCTCAGTCCTCCCCCTCAGTCCCCTCCCTCAGTCCTCCCCCTCAGTCCCCTCCCTCAATCCTCCCCCTCAGTCCTCACCCTCAATCCTCCCCCTCAGTCCCCTCCCTCAATCCTCCCCCTCAGTCCCCTCCCTCAGGCCTCCCCCTCAGTCCCCTCCCTCAATCCTCCCCCTCAGTCCTCCCCCTCAGTCCCCTCCCTCAATCCTCCCCCTCAGTCCCCTCCCTCAGTCCTCCCCCTCAGTCCCCTCCCTCAGGCCTCCCCCTCAGTCCCCTCCCTCAGTCCCCCCCCTCAGTCCTCCCCCTCAGTCCCCTCCCTCAGTCCTCCCCCTCAGTCCCCTCCCTCAGGCCTCCCCCTCAGTCCCCTCCCTCAATCCTCCCCCTCAGTCTTCCCCCTCAGTCCTCCCCCTCAGTCCTCCCCTCAGGCCTCCCCCTCAGTCCCCTCCCTCAATCCTCCCCCTCAGTCCTCCCCCTCAGTCCCCTCCCTCAATCCTCCCCCTCAGTCTTCCCCCTCAGTCCTCCCCCTCAGTCCTCCCCTCAGGCCTCCCCCTCAGTCCCCTCCCTCAATCCTCCCCCTCAGTCCTCCCCCTCAGTCCCCTCCCTCAATCCTCCCCCTCAGTCCTCCCCCTCAGTCCCCTCCCTCAGTCCTCCCCCTCAGTCCTCCCCCTCAGTCCTCCCCCTCAGTCCCCTCCCTCAGTCCTCCCCCTCAGTCCCCTCCCTCAATCCTCCCCCTCAGTCCTCCCCCTCAGTCCTCCCCCTCAGTCCTCCCCTCAGGCCTCCCCCTCAGTCCCCTCCCTCAATCCTCCCCCTCAGTCCTCCCCCTCAGTCTTCCCCCTCAGTCCTCCCCCTCAGTCCTCCCCCTCAGGCCTCCCCCTCAGTCCCCTCCCTCAATCCTCCCCCTCAGTCCTCCCCCTCAGTCTTCCCCCTCAGTCCTCCCCCTCAGTCCTCCCCCTCAGTCCTCCCCCTCAGTCCCCTCCCTCAGTCCTCCCCCTCAGTCCCCTCCCTCAATCCTCCCCCTCAGTCCTCCCCCTCAGTCCCCTCCCTCAATCCTCCCCCTCAGTCCTCCCCCTCAGTCCCCTCCCTCAGTCCTCCCCCTCAGTCCCCTCCCTCAATCCTCCCCCTCAGTCCTCCCCCTCAGTCCCCTCCCTCAATCCTCCCCCTCAGTCCTCCCCCTCAGTCCCCTCCCTCAATCCTCCCCCTCAGTCCTCCCCCTCAGTCCTCCCCCTCAGTCCTCCCCTCAGGCCTCCCCCTCAGTCCCCTCCCTCAGTCCCCTCCCTCAATCCTCCCCCTCAGTCCTCCCCCTCAGTCCCCTCCCTCAATCCTCCCCCTCAGTCCCCTCCCTCAATCCTCCCCCTCAGTCCTCCCCCTCAGTCCCCTCCCTCAGTCCTCCCCCTCAGTCCTCCCCCTCAGTCCCCTCCCTCAATCCTCCCCCTCAGTCCTCCCCCTCAGTCCCCTCCCTCAATCCTCCCCCTCAGTCCTCCCCCTCAGTCCTCCCCCTCAGTCCTCCCCTCAGGCCTCCCCCTCAGTCCCCTCCCTCAGTCCCCTCCCTCAATCCTCCCCCTCAGTCCTCCCCCTCAGTCCCCTCCCTCAATCCTCCCCCTCAGTCCTCCCCCTCAGTCCCCTCCCTCAATCCTCCCCCTCAGTCCCCTCCCTCAATCCTCCCCCTCAGTCCTCCCCCTCAGTCCCCTCCCTCAGTCCTCCCCCTCAGTCCCCTCCCTCAATCCTCCCCCTCAGTCTTCCCCCTCAGTCCTCCCCCTCAGTCCTCCCCTCAGGCCTCCCCCTCAGTCCCCTCCCTCAGTCCCCTCCCTCAATCCTCCCCCTCAGTCCTCCCCCTCAGTCCTCCCCCTCAGTCTTCCCCCTCAGTCCTCCCCCTCAGTCCTCCCCCTCAGTCCTCCCCCTCAGTCCTTTCCCTCAGCCCTCCCCCTCAGTCCCCTCCCTCAGGCCTCCCCCTCAGTCCTTTCCCTCAGTCCCCTCCCTCAGTCTTCCCCCTCAGTCCCCTCCCTCAGGCCTCCCCCTCAGTCCTCCCCCTCAGTCCTTTCCCTCAGTGCTCCCCCTCAGTCCCCTCCCTCAGTCCTCCCCCTCAGTCCTCCCCCTCAGTGCTCCCCCTCAGTCCTTTCCCTCAGGCCTCCCCCTCAGTCCCCTCCCTCAGTCCTCCCCCTCAGTCCCCTCCCTCAGGCCTCCCCCTCAGGCCTCCCCCTCAGTCCCCTCCCTCAGGCCTCCCCCTCAGGCCTCCCCCTCAGTCCCCTCCCTCAGTCCCCCCCCTCAGGCCTCCCTCTCAGTCCCCTCCCTCAGTCCTCCCCCTCAGTCCCCCCCCTCAGGCCTCCCTCTCAGTCCCCTCCCTCAGTCCTCCCCCTCAGTCCCCTCCCTCAGTCCTCCCCCTCAGTCCCCTCCCTCAGGCCTCCCCCTCAGGCCTCCCCCTCAGTCCCCTCCCTCAGGCCTCCCCCTCAGGCCTCCCCCTCAGTCCCCTCCCTCAGTCCCCCCCCTCAGGCCTCCCCCTCAGTCCCCTCCCTCAGTCCTTTCCCTCAGTCCTCCCCCTCAGGCCTCCCCCTCAGTCCCCTCCCTCAGTCCTCCCCCTCAGTCCTCCCCCTCAGGCCTCCCCCTCAGTCCCCTCCCTCAGTCCCCCCCCTCAGGCCTCCCCCTCAGTCCCCTCCCTCAGTCCTTTCCCTCAGTCCTCCCCCTCAGGCCTCCCCCTCAGGCCTCCCCCTCAGTCCCCTCCCTCAGGCCTCCCCCTCAGGGCTCCCCCTCAGTCCCCTCCCTCAGTCCCCCCCCTCAGGCCTCCCCCTCAGTCCCCTCCCTCAGTCCTCCCCCTCAGTCCCCTCCCTCAGGCCTCCCCCTCAGGCCTCCCCCTCAGTCCCCTCCCTCAGTCCCCCCCCTCAGGCCTCCCCCTCAGTCCCCTCCCTCAGTCCTTTCCCTCAGTCCTCCCCCTCAGGCCTCCCCCTCAGTCCCCTCCCTCAGTCCTCCCCCTCAGTCCTCCCCCTCAGGCCTCCCCCTCAGTCCCCTCCCTCAGTCCTCCCCCTCAGTCCCCTCCCTCAGTCCTCCCCCTCAGTCCTCCCCCTCAGTCCCCTCCCTCAGTCCTTTCCCTCAGTCCTCCCCCTCAGGCCTCCCCCTCAGTCCCCTCCCTCAGTCCTCCCCCTCAGTCCCCTCCCTCAGTCCCCCCCCTCAGGCCTCCCCCTCAGTCCCCTCCCTCAGTCCTCCCCCTCAGTCCCCTCCCTCAGTCCTCCCCCTCAGGCCTCCCCCTCAGTCCCCTCCCTCAGTCCTCCCCCTCAGTCCTCCCCCTCAGTCCCCTCCCTCAGTCCTCCCCCTCAGTCCCCTCCCTCAGTCCTCCCCCTCAGTCCTCCCCCTCAGTCCCCTCCCTCAGTCCTCCCCCTCAGTCCCCTCCCTCAGTCCCCCCCCTCAGGCCTCCCCCTCAGTCCCCTCCCTCAGTGCTCCCCCTCAGTGCTCCCCCTCAGTCCCCTCCCTCAGTGCTCCCCCTCAGTCTTCCCCCTCAGTCTTCCCCCTCAGTCCCCTCCCTCAGGCCTCCCCCTCAGTCCCCTCCCTCAGTCCTTTCCCTCAGTGCTCCCCCTCAGTCCTCCCCCTCAGTCCTCCCCCTCAGTCCCCTCCCTCAGTCCTTTCCCTCAGTGCTCCCCCTCAGTCCCCTCCCTCAGTCCTCCCCCTCAGGCCTCCCCCTCAGTCCCCTCCCTCAGTCCTCCCCCTCAGGCCTCCCCCTCAGTCCCCTCCCTCAGTCCTCCCCCTCAGTCCTCCCCCTCAGTCCCCTCCCTCAGTCCTCCCCCTCAGTCCCCTCCCTCAGTGCTCCCCCTCAGTCCCCTCCCTCAGTCCTCCCCCTCAGGCCTCCCCCTCAGTCCCCTCCCTCAGTCCCCCCCCTCAGGCCTCCCCCTCAGTCCCCTCCCTCAGTCCTCCCCCTCAGTCCTCCCCCTCAGTCCCCTCCCTCAGTCCTCCCCCTCAGTCCTCCCCCTCAGTCCCCTCCCTCAGTCCTCCCCCTCAGTCCTCCCCCTCAGTCCCCTCCCTCAGTCCTTTCCCTCAGTGCTCCCCCTCAGTCCCCTCCCTCAGTCCTCCCCCTCAGGCCTCCCCCTCAGTCCCCTCCCTCAGTCCTCCCCCTCAGTCCTCCCCCTCAGTCCCCTCCCTCAGTCCTTTCCCTCAGTCCTCCCCCTCAGTCCCCTCCCTCAGTCCTCCCCCTCAGTCCTCCCCTCAGTCCTCCCCCTCAGTCCTCCCCCTCAGTGCTCCCCCTCAGTCCCCTCCCTCAGTCCTCCCCCTCAGGCCTCCCCCTCAGTCCCCTCCCTCAGTCCTCCCCCTCAGTCCTCCCCCTCAGTCCCCTCCCTCAGTCCTCCCCCTCAGTGCTCCCCCTCAGTCCCCTCCCTCAGTCCTCCCCCTCAGTCCTCCCCCTCAGTCCCCTCCCTCAGTCCTTTCCCTCAGTCCTCCCCCTCAGTCCCCTCCCTCAGTCCTCCCCCTCAGTCCTCCCCTCAGTCCTCCCCCTCAGTCCTCCCCCTCAGTCCTCCCCCTCAGTCCCCTCCCTCAGTCCTTTCCCTCAGTCCTCCCCCTCAGTCCCCTCCCTCAGTCCTCCCCCTCAGTCCTCCCCTCAGTCCCCTCCCTCAGTCCTCCCCCTCAGTGCTCCCCCTCAGTCCCCTCCCTCAGTCCTCCCCCTCAGGCCTCCCCCTCAGTCCCCTCCCTCAGTCCTCCCCCTCAGGCCTCCCCCTCAGTCCCCTCCCTCAGTCCTCCCCCTCAGTCCTCCCCCTCAGTCCCCTCCCTCAGTCCTCCCCCTCAGGCCTCCCCCTCAGTCCCCTCCCTCAGTCCTCCCCCTCAGTCCTCCCCCTCAGTCCCCTCCCTCAGTCCTCCCCCTCAGTCCTCCCCCTCAGGCCTCCCCCTCAGTCCCCTCCCTCAGTCCTCCCCCTCAGTCCCCTCCCTCAGTCCTCCCCCTCAGGCCTCCCCCTCAGTCCCCTCCCTCAGTCCTCCCCCTCAGTCCCCTCCCTCAGTCCTCCCCCTCAGTCCTCCCCCTCAGTCCCCTCCCTCAGTCCTCCCCCTCAGGCCTCCCCCTCAGTCCCCTCCCTCAGTCCTCCCCCTCAGGCCTCCCCCTCAGTCCCCTCCCTCAGTCCTCCCCCTCAGTCCCCTCCCTCAGTCCCCCCCCTCAGGCCTCCCCCTCAGTCCCCTCCCTCAGTCCTCCCCCTCAGGCCTCCCCCTCAGTCCCCTCCCTCAGTCCTCCCCCTCAGTCCCCTCCCTCAGTCCTCCCCCTCAGTCCTCCCCCTCAGTCCCCTCCCTCAGTCCTCCCCCTCAGTCCCCTCCCTCAGTGCTCCCCCTCAGTGCTCCCCCTCAGTCCCCTCCCTCAGTGCTCCCCCTCAGTCTTCCCCCTCAGTCCTCTCTGTCTCTTTTTAAAAAATATCTGTTTGGTTGTGCTGGATCTTAGTTGCACCATGTGGGACCTAGTTCCCTGACCAGGGATCGAACCCAGGCCCCTGCCTCGGGAGAGCGGAGTCTGAGCCACTGGACCAGCAGGGAAGTCCCTCCCCAGTCCTCTCGCAGGCGCAAGGCCCAAAGCCCTCAGAGGAGCTCTGTCTGAGGACAGGATACAGTCAGCTTAGGGGCCGCAGTCTTCTGCCCCAAGTCTCCGGTCTCCTGGGCTGAACGAGCAGCAGGAACTGGCATTCCCAGAGCTCGGGAGGCTCCACCCCTCCTCACACCTGCTTCTTACAGGGCTCTGAGCACACACGGCCTGGGGAGGGAGGACACGGCTCTGCACACGCGGCCTGGGGAGGGACGACACGGCTCTGTGCTCATGCGGCCTGGGGAGGGAGGACACGGCTTTGCACACGCGGCCTGGGGAGGGAGCACGCAGCTCTGTGCTCACTCACAGCCTGGGGAGGGAGGACACGGCTTTGCACGTGGCCTGGGGAGGGATGACACGGCTCTGCACACGCGGCCTGGGGAGGGACGACATGGCTCTGCACACGCAGCCTGGGGAGGGAGGACACGGCTCTGTGCACACACGGCCTGGGGAGGGAGCACACAGCTCTGTGCTCACACACAGCCTGGGGAGGGAGGACACGGCTCTGTGCACACGCGGCCTGGTCCTGGAGGGGCCGCTCAGCCTCTGGTTTCCCCACTTCCGTCCCTTGCTTCCACACAGGCAGGTCGCAGACCTCCATCATATTGCCCAGCTCAGGGACACCCTCCTCTTGAGGGGGGACCATTTCCCCATTCCACGTGTCAGCCTGGGTTTCAGAGTCAGAAACGATGGCCACGCCCCTCCCTGCAGGCTTGGCAGATGGCTCTCAGATGGCCTCAGGGGCCAGCAAAGAAGCTGTCCCACCCTCTGGCCCCAGACAACCTCTTCTGCCCCACCAGCCTGCCCTGCCCATCAAGCTGTGCTCTAGACACACCAGAACGCTATTGGGAGAGTTGCGTTTCTAGTTAACTTGTGAGATCTGTGTGAGTGTGTATGAAAGAGTCTGGTTGGTTTGGGGTTGGTTTTTTTTTTTTTCGCACTTACCAATTACCACCTTGGAAAACAAAATCAGAAACTGCTATGAGCCTATTATAGCAACACGGGTGTGATCTCAGTGCCTCAGCTGTGAGTTCTGTTTGCATCCTGGCTCTGGTGCCCATCGGCCCTGCAGCCCGGAGCTGGGGCCTGTGCTTCCTGAGCCTCAGCCTTCTCATCTGTGAAATGGGGACGTGGTAATAGTGACTTCAGGGCAGTTGTGACAACTACACGGGATGAAGCATGCGGGTGTTCAGCACGGCCCTGGCACGGGTTTGTGCTTCTGAAGCAGCTGTTACTTGTGCTATTTCATGAGGCATCTTGTTAGACAAAGAGAGAAAGAGGGAAGGGAGGGAAGGGGGGTGGGAGGGAGGGAGGGAACACATCTCCAACTTGGTGGCTCAGTGGTAAAGAACCCGCCTGCCAATGCAGGAGACTGGCTCGATCCCTGGGTCGGGGAAGTCCCCTGCAGGAGGACATGGCTATCCGCTCCAGTATTCTTGCCTGGAGAATCCCATGGACAGAGGAGCCTGGAGGCTACAGTCCAAGGGGTGGCATAGAGTTAGACATAACTGGGCACACGCGCAAGGAAGAGCCAAGCCCCCACCCTCCGCCTCAAATCCCGGACTGGGCTTTAAGCAGGAGCCGAGCTCTAATCCTCTCAGGGAGTCATGTCTTGAAGGTTGCTTCCCTGAAGGTGGAAGCTGAGATCAGATGCCACAGGAGCTTCTAGCACTTGCTCCGAGAGGCCTGAGGCGACTCTCTATGCCACTGCTGCCCCAGGAGGCACATTCTGGGCTGTGTCCAGGGTCTGGGGCTGTGGGAGCCGCCCCAGTGACGGCCAGGCCGCTAGAGGGAGGTGTGGAGGCAGGCAGGCCGGGCAGATGCTAGGCCGCCTAGGGAGCGCCCGGCCCGAGGCGGACGCCACGCTTCTCAGGGCTCCTGCCCGCCTCTCAAAGCCAGCGTCCTCCTCCCAGGTGCCTGCTGGCACCTGGCAATTTTCAAGGGATGAGGAGACTGATGCTTTCCCAGACAGACAGGGAAGCCCCATCCAGGGAGGGGGTGGGAGACGCATGGCGTTTTGTGGGGTCTTGGCCAACAGGTAAAGAAGCGTGGGTTGTGATGTGGGCAGGATGATGCAGCCGAAGCATGCAGGACCCCGTCCCCAAGGGCCTGTCCCGAGACCACCAGGACCTCCTACGACAGCCAGCAAGGGAAGGAGCTGCCTGGAGTTGGGATTCCTTAACAACTCCACAGTGCATGCTCCGTGCCCCGAACCACTTCACCAGGGTTGGACACCTCCCCGCCAGCCCTCCTGGCTCATGTCCGGGTCTGTCTCGTGAGGATGGAGCCAGCACTGCAGCTTGCCTCCTCAGCACCCCCCTCCCCTCCCTCCTTAGAAACCGTTTGTTTGGCACAACCGCATGGTTAGCTGTAGATGTTCCCAGCCACACGTCCCAGAGGCCAGGCTGGCCCTTGAGACACGCTACCTATGTAAACTCGTCTGGCAGGTGGGGCTCCTGGAACTCTCACTGTTTTTTGATTGTAAGAGGCTGATTCAGACACATCCCTTTTACCTTTACTCTTCTCCTTTCCTCCAGCCTAAAGTGTGAATGAGGTCTGGGGCTGTGGCAGTCACTTTGTGACCAAGAGGCTGAGTGGGTCCCTGACGTCACTGTAGGGTATGGATGGCAGACCTCAGGTGGCGCTAGGGGAAAGAAACTTCCTGCAATGTAGGAGACACAGGAGACGGGGGTTCGATCCCTGGGTCAGGAAGATTCCCTGGAGGAGGAAATGGCACCCCACTCCAGCCTTCTTGCCTGGAAAATCCCATGGACATAAGAGCCTGGCGGGTTATAGTCTATGGGGCTGCAAAGACTCGGGCACGACCGAGCGACTGAACACACATACGTGGGAGAGACAAAGAATATGGATTTGGAGAAGTCGCTGCAGTCAGCCTTCTGTGATGTAGCTCAGTGTCAACGTCTGGTCCCCACCTCACTGAACCTTTAGTGAAGGATCTATCACAGCAAACTTTCTTGGTCGGTGTGTTATGAAGTCTTGGGAAATGAGTTAAGACTGAACTGGTCCTCCTGCCGGCTACTTGGGCCAGTTCTTGTAGATGGAAGGGTGAGACAGCCAATTTAGCTCTGGGCGGTGGAGTTGAGTATAGCCTGCAAGGGAACCCAGTCCCCTTCATGGAAACAGCAGATTCGATGTTTGGCCTGGACATTGAAGAGAAATCTCCTATGTTCAGCTGGGAGCTGCCTGCATCAGGATCTCCTGGGGAGGCTGTTGGGGTTCTGGGCCCCCCAGACTCTCCTAGTCGGGACCCCTGGGGGCTGGAGGAGGGGGAGGAGGCACCTACTTTTGGAACAAGCCCGTCTTCTCCCCAGCTGTATCCTTGCTCTTCTGCAGAGTTAGAGACCTTGAGCTGGTCCCATCTCTTCACTTATTTGGGAAACGCTGCTCTGGGATCCCTCTGAGCCTCCCCTCCGTGGACAGGACCCCTCCCATCCCAGGGTGTCTCCTGTCTGGAGATTTCTCCAACCATCAAGGAAAGTACAAGCTCAGCCTGGAAGAAGCTGTCGTTAACGACACTGAAGTGCGGCCATTGCAGTCCCGGCCACTCGCAGCCGTCCACCCTCCACCCCCGGCCGCCCACCCTCCGCCCCCTGGCCGGCCACCGGTCCGCGCGGCCGCCCACCCTCCGCCCCCCGGCCGGCCGCCGGCCCGCGCGGCCGCCCACCCTCCGCCCCCGGCCGGCCGCCGGCCCGCAGAGCTCACTCGAAGCCTTGTTCCCTGTACCCTGCACTCTGCGTGTGCACGTCTGTGTCCGTGTGAGCCAGCACACTGGCCCCTCCCTGGGCCCTCCTCACGGGCATGTGCACACGTGTGTGTGTGTGTGTGTGTGTGTGTGTGTGCGTGTGTGCGCACATGTGTACGAGAGCCCCCCAGCCCAGCCTTCCCCGCCTCCACACCTAAGCAGCGTGCTAGAAGTGAAGCCGGTTGAGGACACGCTTTCCTGGGCAGTTAGCAGAGTCGTCCCGTGAATGTCACTGCTTCTCTTCCAGGTGTTTAGCCGGGAGCCGGAAGCGCCACATCCCTCGTGCCTCAGGAGCCGCTCAGCAGCGCTGGGAGGCAGGGCCTTGCTGTCCTGCTGTCCTGCATTCAGAGGCTGAGAAGAGGCTCGGGCTGCGGGTGGGCCTGCCTGCCTCCAGCTGGTGGGCGGAGGGGCTGGGATTGAGCCGGGGGTCTCCCGACATCCCCCCCACGGGTGGCACTGCCCTGGGGCTGCACCCTCCAGCGGCCCCGCGCGGAGGGATTAGCTACATGAGCAAACGCTGAGTCCCCAGCCTGGTGCTTGCAGGGTAGGGGTCGCTGCCCTCGGGGTCCCGGCTCCGGGGCTGCAGGCCTGGGGGGCAGAAGCGGTTATGGGGACGTTTCACTCCCCTGGCTCCGTGGTTGGCACTTCCTGGGCCTCTGTGGGTGGTGAGGCCATGTGACAGCTTCTGACCAGTGAGCTCTGAGCAGGAGGGGGTGTGGAAATTTCTGGCTGAGCATTCAGTTTCTGGAGCAGGACCTTCCGGGGCCAGCCTGTGCCCACGGGGCGGCTTGGCCAGCCTGCCTCGTGTGTGGCCAGGGCTTGGGGCTGACCGCATGGCCACGCAAGCTCGTGGGCCCTACACCTTCCTTTATTCAGCGACAGAGGCTGTCCAGCTCTCCTGGTTGATCCAGGCGCTGAGATCCCGACCTCTGGTCCCTCTTGAGGCTGTCTGTTGGACAAGCCTTGGAGGATGTGTTTGGGAACTCCAAACCTGCCATCTGAGGGAGTGGGAGAGGGTGTTGAATGCGGGGGTCTGGGGGGTCCCCCCACCTTCTCTGCCCACCCATGGGCGTGTGCTGATGCCGGGTGACTCCTGAGATGCGGGCTCTCCCCACGACCCAGCCCCCTTCCGCCTGCCCCTCCCAGGCCTGCCCTGGATGCCAGGCCCCCTCCCCACTGGCAGAGCTGCTCCGTGCCTGGTCCGGGGCCAGGTGGCAGGTGCACACGGAGACGCAAGGCCGGCCCAGCCAGCCCGGGCGGCTGTCATGTGGCCAGAGGACCAGCTGGCGTGGGGCCTGGGAAGCGGGGGGAGTTCACAGCTCTGATTCATGGCCCCGTCCATCCCAGGCCCCAGGCAGGTCTCAGGCCTTGAGGTGCAGCTGGCCTGGAGGGTGGTGTGGATGGGCTCCTCTCACCCCCAGAGCCGGCGTCTCCTTCTCCCCGATGGAGGCAGAGGTGAAGGTGTCTGCTCCCCATGGATCTTCGTGAGAGAGTGCCCTGGGCTGATGTAATTAAGCCTGTGCATCTGGTTGCCATAGCATTTCTGCCAATGCTGTGCCCATCAGCCGCAGAAGTGGGTCACACGTTCACCTCCTCCTCAGTTGTGAACTTCTGTAAAATAAAGATAAATCTGATCCAAGCGTGCGCCCCTCTCGTGGCTGTGAACTCACCCCCTGGCTGCTTCCCGAGCCGCCTTAATGAGCCTCCGGCCTGTGCTGGGAGCCCTGCCCTCCCGCGTCACCTCTGGGCACTGGGTCATCCCTGCTCCAAGGTCTGCGGGCGATCTCCGCAGTGGGGGCCCAGGCGGCAGCCGCAGGCTGTCCTGGAGGGCCCAGGGAGATAGCGCCCAGCCGCCCAAGTGGTCTGCAGGCTGCCTTGAGATGAGTGGACACTGCAGTGGGGAGGCGCGTCCCGCCTGTAAACATCCACGCTGACTTTCGCCAGCCTGGGGTGGGGGGCCCAGTAGGGTCCCCTGCTCTGTCGTCACCCGGCCTGGGCTGGCCCGGAGCATAGTGCCAGTGTTTACAGGATGCCTCCCTGCGCCAGACCCAGAGGACGCAGGGACGACCGGGCAGGGCGCGGGGCCTGGCGGAGGCGCTAAAAATGGGAAGGAGAAGCACACTGTGGTAGCGGGGTGTAGCCCCAAAGCTGTGCTCGTCCCACCTGGGCCCTGCCCGTGGCCTTGCTCACAGGGTCTGCAGCCGTCACTGAGTGAAGGGCCTCCGGCTGAGGTCCTGTCATCAGGTGGGACCAAGCCCCGTGACAAGCACCCTTGGAACAGGAGGCCGGGGGACAGGTGGGCGTGTGAGGACAGAGCCTCCCGCCAGGGGACCCAGGGCGCCCGCAACTGGAAGGATCCTTCTGGGGAGCCCCCAGGGAAGCGCGGCCCCGCCCGCCGTGGTCCTGGACTCAGGGGCCCCGGGCCGGAGAGGACACAGCGTTGCGGTCTTCAGTTGCCCGCTGTGGGGACGGGTCCTGGCAGCCCAGGACAGTCACCGGCCCCGACACCCACCGGGTGTGCCTCCCAGGAGCTGGCCTGATGCCCGGGGCATCTCAGAGGGTCAGGAAGGGGCTGCCCAGAGCTGGGGGCCAGGGTCTGGGAGGCCCGCTGTTAAACCTCTCTCTTTTTGTGTGTTTCTAGCACCTCTGACCCCTGAGGGAGCAAAGCGCCGGCCTGGGATTCACGAGACGGATGCAGAGCGTGAATCCGGGGAGCAGGCGATGGCATGGCCTGCCTGCCGGGGGCCCTGGGATATGCGGAGTCTGCAGCAGGAGGCCCCGGGGAGGCCCAGGCTCGGCCCTCTCCCAGGTAGATGAAGAATCGGAGAAGATCACGGTAGGAGCCTCTGGTGGAGAAGCAGACAGTCAGAGTGTATGGGGTGGGGGCGGGCGGTGTGTGGCCTCCCAGGAGGGACATCAGGCTGGGATCTGATGACAGCAGACGGCTCCTCTGAATCTGAGGACAGAGATCCACCAGGGGAGGGCATTCCAGGAGGAGGAGTCCCCCCCCACCTCCCCCAGGAGGGCGCTCTGATGGACAAAGCCGGTGGGCAGGAGGATGTAGGGCCCAGCCGAAGGGCGTCGGGGCGCCAGGCAGGGCCGGGCCGAGGGGCGTCGGGACACCGGGCAGGGCCTGGGTGCATCGGGTGTGCTAAAGAAGGTGGGGGTGGGTACAGCCTGCTGTCAGGAGTGGAAGGCAGGGAGCAGAGGGAGGCAGTGGGGGACCCTCGGCCGCATTGGCTCAGGTCCAGGAGTGTAGGTGGAATTAGGGCGGACCCACATGGATTTGGAGACTGCTTTGGGAACTAAGTGGACACCACTTCACATTGGCTGGAATCAGTGATGGGGAGAGGAGTCTCTACCCAGCACCACCTGGGACGGTGGGCCAAGCAGTGGGGCGAGTGTGGTGGCTGGAGGGCTTTGGGGACAGAGACCCTGCGAAGCGCAGACTGCAGTGGGCAGCTGAGGGGAGGGTCTGCACTCAGGGGGAACGCTGGGCTGGATGGGGTGGGTGGGCCCCCGAGGGGTCCGGCTTACAGTGGGCGCCCAGCAGACCTCAGGCAGTCCACATCCCGACTCCCCTCAGCTGGAGGGCGTGTGGCGGGAGGGGAGGTAGGCAGGGAGCAACGCTCAGCCTGGAACCAGGGAGGCTCCAGAGAGGACAGAGGCCTCTGGGCCAGCCTGTGGCTCGGGGACACGCTGGTTGGTCACGGGGGCCCAGGGGGAGGCAGAGGCCCCTGCCCAGCGCCTCCAGGATCTCCCTCTGGGCCCTGGTTGGAGGCTGGGGACCTGACGTGGATGAGCCACACTGCCGGCCCTCCGTGGCCCTGGAAACTGCCCTGCCCCTGGGACAGGAAGCTGCATCAGCCTGGGGTCCAGCTCCCATCGCCCTTGCTCCCTGAGGCCCCAGCACGCTGCCTCCTGCAGACATGTTTTTGCCGCTGGCTGCCTCCCAGCCTGGTAGCAGGAAGGCTGGCTTCCCCGTGAGTGACCTTGGGGAGCCATGGAGCTGATGTGGCAATTTGGGCTGGAAACGCAAGTGAGTTTGTTTCCAGGGAGACACCCAGCACACTTCATCTCGGGGCTCCCTGTGTGGGCGGGGCTGGGGGGCTCCTGAGAGACCCAGTCCAGGGTGAACTGTCCGCTGTCAGCATGCCTCCAGGCCAGCTCACTGGGGCCTGCCTGGCAGTGGGAAGCAAAGGCAACCACCTCCGCACCTCGAGTTGTGGGCCTCCCTGGTCTCCTTGATCACCAGACAGGGTCTTCCCCTTGGTTGGACTGAAGAGGCTTTTGTAGGAGCTCGGGCTGGATCTGGTGGAGTGAAAAACGCCCCTGCACATGCCAGTCCATTCATGAGCTTCATCTGATGCCCTCTGGGTGCACAAGGCTGTGCCCAGTGGGGGGTGGGTGCTGAGGGGCGAGGTGGACCCTGAGCACCTTCGTGGGAGGCCAGGGAGTGTCCGTGGGATAGCTGGAGGGTGGTTTGGGGTGGACGGAGCAGGAGGCGCGAGTGTGAGGTGGGGCCCAGGACAGGAGGCTGCTTGGGAGGGGTTGGGTCACGTCCCCCAGCTCCCTATGTGGCGTCCTCACCCCAGGACCAGAACGTGACCTCATCTGGAGACAGGGTCTTTGCAGCTGTAACTGCCTGTGGCATCTCCCTTCGTCCCCTTGCAGCTTCTGGGCTCTGTGTGTGGGGCCTTGGCTGAGGCCGGATGCCAGCCCCAGCGGAGCTCAGCTTTACAGACGTGGAGAGGGTGTCTGCAGGACAGCACAGTCCTCAGAGCTCCTGGTGAGGAGATGCTGTGCTCCAGACGAGACCTGGGACCTAAACTCAACATCACCAAGGACCAGCAGAGGGACAGCAGGCAAGACATGGCTCTCTGGTCCTCAGACTTCTCTTCTGCAAAAGACTGCCTTTCCTCCAGGAGACGATGCAGTCTAACACACCCATGAGAGTGAAAACGCAGCTGCAAAATGATATGTGTGCGTGTGTGTGTATGTACTCAATTGTGCCCGACTCTTTACAGCCCATGGACTGTAGCCTGCCAGGTTCCTCTCTCCATGGGATTCTCCAAGCAAGAATAATGGAAAGGGTGGCCAGATCCTCCTCCAGGGGATCTTCCCAACCCAGGGATCAAACCCACGTCTCTTGTGTCTCCTGCATTGGAAGGCAGATTCTTTACCAACTGTGCCACTTGGGAAGCTCAAAATGAGATGCTACACTTAAATATAAAATACATGGTATGGCCATTGTTAAGAGAATCTAGGAACACACACGCACACACATGCACACGTGCACACACATGAGCACGCACACACGCATGCATGCACACACTCACTCGTGTGCACGCACACTCACACATGCGCACACACATTCACACACACACATACACACACTCACACACACGCATGCACACACACACACTCACATGCACACACACTCTGCGTTTCATCCTTACTGCCACACCTTTCAGTGCCCTCATTGCCTCAGAGCCAGAGGGGCCGTTGCCAGTGACCCAAGCTGCACTCGTCGGACTGGGGCCTGATCCCACGGTGCTGGGCCTGTGTGAGCAGGTGAACATTGTTTATCATCCCACAAAGCCCATTTCACTCAGGGACCTGCAGGGAAGGAGGTGGAAACATTGCTTTACCAGCAAAGCAGACACAGATCTACTATGGGATAGAATTTACAGCATCCTGCCATCTTGAGACAATGAGACTTCAAAGCGCTGCTGGGCCAGGTCTGGCCGCCGCAGGCCGCGTCCCTGCACGCTGCATCCTCCTCCGCCTGCAGCAGCTTTGACGGCAAAGCCTGGCAGACCAAGCACCTCAGTCCTCAGTGGGGAAAACATTTCCCGGCCTCCCTCACGTGACAGAGAGTCAGGTGAGGAAGTAACCACCACTGGGACAAACGAATGTGTCCTATGTCGCCTCTAGAGACAGTCCCTAAAAGGCAGTTTGGTAAGTACCCTGTGACTTCTTTATGACCCCTTTGTCCCATCCTCCATCCTGTTGACTAGAACAGAGATGTGATGGCTTGAGCTCAGGCTGCCATTTTGGGCCATGAAGACAAAGGCCACCCCCTTGGGAAGGCAGACGGGATGTGGAAAAGTCTGGGTCCTTGTTGCCGAGCTGCCAAGCCATCCCTGGGTTGCCCAAGCATAGTCCTAATGGAGAGGCTCTCCCTGCAGCTGCCAGAACAAAGGCCCAGCAGTCAGAGCATGACATCGGGGGTGAGAATGGCTGGAGCGTGGGGAGGAGAGCGTGAGGGGCTGAGGCTGGGAGGCGGTCAGGGGCAGGCAGCAGGGGCTGAGGGTCTGTGCACCCAGCATCCTGATGGCCCTTCCTGCCTCCTCTCTCAAACACACCCGTCCTCAGCAGGGCATTCCATGCTGGCCATCTGCACCTGTCTGTGAAGTCAGCAAAAGTCCTGGGATGATCCTCCCAAGCTGAAGGAGAGGGCCTGTCCCCTGGGGAAGGGTTCCAGACACCACCAAGGTGAAGTCTTTGAGGTGGGGGTGTCTTCCTGCCTGAACCCCATCGCTGGCAGGACCAGGGGAGCCCCAGGCACAAGGTCTGGGCATAATCCTGGGCTCCAGGCTCCAGCACAGCCCCCCAGGGATCGCGTGAGGTGCACCCCTCCTGATTCCCCTCCTGGGAGCTGGCTGTGTGGGGACCCTTCCAGGCACAGAAGGGCTCTCAAGTCCCATGATGCTGTGGCTTGCCAGGCCCTCCCCCTGGGAGGTAGTGGAGAGCATCTCCTCTCATCCAGAGGAGGCCTGGCAGACAGGACCCATGGGATCCAGGCTGGAGGCAGGGCTCTGGGTGGATCATTCCCTCTCCAAGCCCCTGGGTGCTGTGCTGATGAGACCGGGGTGGGAGGTGAGTCCTGGAAGACCAGGTGGGTCGAGGGAGCAGGGACCCAGCGTCACCGACTCTTCCTATCTGCCGTGTGTCTGTTCTAGGTCCCCCTGCTGGACAGGGCTCTGGGAGGAGGGGCCCCACCCAGGGTCACCGGCTCATCCTGTCTGTTCCAGATAGAGGGGCTCGGTTCCTTCTGAGCTCATCTCCCCAGCGGTCTGTCCCAGATGAGTGCCCGCAAGAATTTGCTAAGGGAGTCGACGCCGTCTCCTTTGCTCAGATCTGGACTCTAACCATCCCTCCCTGCCTCACCCGTGAATTCACTTCCTCCACTGGACACCAGTGTCCGCCAACGCACCCACCACGGTGTGGCTCAGCCGGCTGCCCCCGCCCCCCAGGCCACAGCAAGGCCAGACTGCAAACTCTGAGAGTCAGACCTGCCCAAGGGTGCCCCTGGCAGGGAGCTGCCTCCTGGCTCAGACACGCTCCCTATGTGGGCTCAGGAGGAGGGGCGGTGCTGGAAACCCCAGCTCTGTGCCCCCCCGGCCCCCCAGGACTCGCCGGGCCCCCTGAGTTTTCTCCTCCGTCTTCCTCTTCCCCTGGGGGTGGGGGACCCAGGCTCCTCCCTGCTGGGGGGGCTCACAGTCTGTATCGAGAGGGGCCGCCCTGTGATCCCAGCCCCCTTCGGAGAGTTCTGCCAGGTCTGGGGAAGGTGGGGGCTGGCCATGGGGGTCACACCGCCTGGGCTGATTCGCGGTCCTCGGGGAGCCGCTTTCTGCCAGTGATGGCGGGTTTTTTCCACTCCTCTGCGGCAACCTCTTCCTCGCAGGCAGTAACTTAATTAGCACTCTCTGTTCTCCAAACAGGCGAGCGTGACTCAGCACTTTCGCACGCGGTCTAAATTTGTCGCTAACCCCCCAGGTGTCTTTTAGCCCAGGCCTGCGGGAAATTAGATCACGGGGTTAGAACAGGGATTAGTGGGTGATTTCCAGCGACTTCTGGCTTCCTGGTCCCGCTTGGTTGGGTCTGATCTGTCTGCTGGCGGCTCTCAGCTGGGGCAGGGCCCTCAGACGCCCGAGGCTCCCTCCCCTTGAGGAGCTCAGGCCCCAGCAGTTGCTGGAGTTCAAGAACAAGTCCGTCAGCTCCGGCGATCTGTCCTCGAAGGCTCAGGACTGAAAGGCCATCGGAGCTTTCCGGGGGCTCCTTGGGGGCTGAGCGGGGGGTCAGGGGCCGCCTTCTCTGCAACCACCTGGGCTGGGGGGCCAGTCACCTCTTTCTCCTCTTTTTCCTCTTTCTGCCCCCACCTCTTTCTCCTCCTCGTTGTCTCTCCTTCCCTCAACCCTGCCCCCCATCTCCACCCCCCACAGGCACCCCTGTTTCTCCGTCTGTGCCAGGCCTGTCCTGGGGTCTGGGGACACTGCCGTGGAGGGGTGGCCGTGGCTCCAGCCCTTGCGGACGTTAGCAGGGCGGCGTGGAGGAAGCCAGCTGCCCGCCAGGGTGCTGTGACCCGGGGGGAGGGGCTCTGGGCCCCGTGGGAGGGGCTGGGTCCTCCCTCCCCACCCCGACCCCGGCACTGGGGGGTCCTCGCACAGCGGTCCTCGCGTGGGCATCCAGGGGTGATGCAGCACAGGGTGGGTAGGAGGACGAGGGACCCCGGCACCCAGACCCCCCGGGGCCCCCCTTGCCCACCTCCCTTGCCCTCCCCAGGGCTCACCGCCTTTCTCTCTGGAAGCGCCTGCTCCCCACCAGGTGTGGGAGCAGCTGTGGCTCTGGCAGGTCCCCCGGGCGTCCGTTCCTGGGGAGCAGTCAGAGGGGTGTCCAGGCCGGGGGTGTTTCTGTGCCTCTGGACAGAGCCCCCCTTCCCTCCTCCACCCCTCACGGTCCATCTCTCTCTGCAACAGCCCCTGGACCTGCGTGGGCAGCAGGGACGGGCCTCAGGGGGCTGCACGAGCTGGCCGGAGCTGGCGTAACAATCTGTGCAAACTCATTGCTTCAGTCACGGGACGCATGAGCCCTAAATCCAGGAGGCTCTCGGGAACAGTCCGCTGCTCGACCCCCCCAGCTCTGGAGGTGCCTGCGGTCCTCAGCTCTGGCCCTTTCTCCATCTCTGGGCTGGTAGCATGTTCCTTCCTCGGCCGTGGCCTCTGTCCTCACGCCTTCTCTCCACCCTGACTTCTGTCCCCCTGCAGCAGGAACCCTGGCGATGACACTGGGCCCATGAGCATCATCCAGCATCACCTCCATCTCAAAGCCCTCCCCTCAGCCCTGAGTCGCTGTTCATACGCGGGTTACCTAGTCACAGGCCTTGGGCGTCAGGACGTGGGTCTCTGTGGGGGGAGGCTGTCATTCTGTCCCCCAGAGAGTCACCACCTGACCCCCATCACCCCAGCTCCAGCTCGGGCTGGGAAAGGCACCCCTGGGCCCTGAACAACCCCCCTGGCAGAGGCTCAGTGGGGTCTGAGCTTCATTAGGGCCTGACAAGGCTGACCACCAGCGCTGATAAGCTGGAAGCACGGGGCTCCTTCATTACTGGCTGCAAAACCTAATTATGGATGTGGAATAAATTACGTGTTAACATGGAGATGAGTCCCTGCTTCTCCTGCCATCGTTAAGCAGCTAGATAATAAGGCCAGATGCTTGGAGATGGGGAGACAGGCTGCCGATGGCGGCGTTAGCACCGCCAGGCGGAGGTGAGCGAGACAGAGGGTGTCTTTTCCCCTGGAGCGGGGCCCGGCCCCTTCGCCCCACCAGGCCTCTCTGGTTCGGCTCTCCGGCTCTTCCCGGGGCCGCGGCCTCCCAGCAGGGCCCGGCTTCCTGCCGCCTCCCGGGCCTGTGCTCCGGGCCCTCTCCAGCTGTCCCTCCTTTCCCTGGTCTGGGGCCTGGAGGAACAGCCGGAGTCCGCTGGCCTGTGCTCCAGCTACGGGGCCGTGGGGCGAGCTCCTCCCCAGCTTGTCTGCCAGGCCGGGCGGGGGGCGCCCCTAGTCCTGGTTCCCACTGGAGCTCCTTTCGTCGGGATTTTAGGAGCCACTGAACTTCCATTTTCTGCGGTGGAGACCAGGGCGGTGGTCTCAGGCTGCCTGTTTCACAGCCTTGCCCCATCGGCCCTGGACCCGCCTCCTTGAGGACCTGGTGTGGCCCAGTCCCTGCTCACCATGCCTGGGGCTGCCTGCTGCCCAAGGAGATCCAGCCCCTTGGCAGGGGGCACCCTCGGATGGGAGCCTGGAGCACGTCAGTGAGCTCGCCTGCACCCGGGGGGACATGGAGGCATCTGGCTCAGGGGTGGAGGGCGCTGGCCGAGGGAGGGCCTCAGCTGGGGTCCGAGGACATTGTGTTCTGCCAGCCGACAGCCCAGCACCCACTGCGGGCCTGGCCCCAGGCCGGCTGCCTGGTGTCCTTAAGAAAGCCCAAGTCCTCTCTAGAGGGGTCACCTTTGACTGCTTACCCGGAGTGTGAGTGCTGCGTTGGAGCCAGTCACTCCCAGCCCCTCCTTTGGGGATGAAGGGTGGAGGCGGGTGGTCTGCTAAAGCCATCCATGGGGGATTGTGGCGTGCTTGAAGACGGACTGCCTAGTGACACACACACATGAACACACACGGACACACATGTGCACACACATGAACACATACATGTGCACACACGAATGCACACATACATGTGAACACCCATGAACACACACGGGCACACACGAACACACATTGAACACGCATGAAAACATGTGCACACACGAACACACATATGAACACATGCACGAACACACATGAACCCACATGTGCGCACGCACACACATGCACACAGTGGCTGAGCTTGGCTCTGGCCGGGTTGGGGTCTGACTCTCACAGCCCTGCCAGCCTGGGTGGGCCTCTCCACCATGGTGGTGGAGACAGGGGCCCAGCGGCTTTCTGAAGCCAGAGCAGCGTCTTCCAAGTGTGGTCCCGGATCCGACTTTATTTCAGCTGCCGTGGCAAGGACTGGTTCCCGTCACCCCCGTTTCCTGCTTCCCCAGAACTCAGGAAACTACATTTCCCAGCATCCCCTGCACTGGGGCTGGGGCCTCGGACTGAGGGCAGGGACAGCCACAGAGCGTGGGCGCACCTTCCCCTCCTGAGGAGACCCAGAGGCTCGCGAACGGAGGGAGGTTTTCCTGGCTCCCTGTGGCAAGGAAGGGAGAGAAGGCAGGGGAAACCTGGGCCCGTAGGCCACTGCTCTTCCTTGTAAAGTGTCAGAAAGATCAGTTCAGTCCATCGGTCGGGATGATGCCGTGGAGGAGGGAGGGGCAACCGATTCCAGTCTTCTTGCCTGGGAAATCCTCTGGACAGAGGAGCCGGGTGGGCTGCAGTTCATGGGGTCACGCAGAGTCAGACACAGCTGAACACAAACACACATTGGTCTGTCCTTGGGTTAGAGGCACGGTTGCTTCACACGAGGGCGCCCGTTCCTGGAAATAATCGTCCAGGAGGTGGGTGGCTTCCTCGAAGCTGGAAAGGCCAGTGCTTCCCAGTCCCTGAGGCTCAGCCACAGGGGGATGTCTCCTCTGCCTTTTAAAGACCCCATGTAGGCAGGTGCCTTTTGGAAAACCCAACTCCCTTCCCCAGGCTCAGTCCTCTGGCAGCCTTCGGGACATCTGGGCCGATTTCCCTGCCAATTTAGAGCTCAACCATTTACATCCTGAAAGGAGACCAGGCTCCAGTGTAGCTCATCTCCCTGATTTATAAAGTCAGCGGTTCGCGGAGCTCGCCGTGGCCAGTGTTTTATGTCACCCTTTTATACACGCAATCCATTTTATGACTGAGGGGAGCGACAGGAAAGTGCGTACTTCTTCCCGTATCGCAAATCGACAAGCCCAGCATCTCAGTCGATACAATCCTATTCTGCTGACTTTGAGACCAGGCTGAAAGGTCATCTTGGGGGGGTGGGGTGTGCTCTGGCCGTGGGGAGCCGGGCGGGGCCGCCTGGAGCCGCGATGCTGATGTTGTAGAAAAACAGTCTGGCCCTGTACACAAGCAGATGGTCCCAGGGTCTGGCTGCGCCTCTCGGAGGAGGCCCAGAGCCACCCAGACGGGCACTGCAGCCTGCAGGTTCCCCCTAATAAACCCAGCGGTGAGGCTGCTGGTGACTCAGACTTTTACCCTCAGGGGCTGGGAGGGAGGCAGAGATCACCGCCTTTACACACGTCTCCCGATATCCGGCCTCGGCTTGCATGCCGCCAGCGCCGGGAAGCTCAGCACTGGAAACGCTCTCCTGACACCCGCTGACACCCACGCCCCGCCCCCTCGGTGGCCCTGCCTCTGAAGGCTGAAGCAGTCCTGTCCTTCCACACTCAGAAGGGCGGAGGGTCCTGAGACCCGAGGCGGCCAGCCCGGCCCCTGCCCGACTCCCTGGGCCTGTGGCCTGTCAGCCGCGGCTCTCAGCTGCCTCCTTCAGGTCCACACCCCTTTCTCCTCTCCCCATCCTAGCCCTGGGTCTTGGTTCCCTTCCGCACACCCGATGTGACCCTTTCCCCCACTGGAACCCTTCCTGGTCCCCACGATCCTGCAGTGAAGACTTGAATCAGGGCCGGCCGTCCACAGCTCTGGGCGCACGAAGCAGGTGGCCACGGGTGGAACCCCAGGACGTCAGAACGGAAGAGCCTGGCATCTTGGAGCTCAGAAAAGGAGTGAGGCTGAGAGAGCCGCGGCCTTGGCTGGGCCCAGCGAGCCTGCCCAGGCTGCGGTGACCTGACCTCTGCTTCGGGTCCTGGCCACAGCCGCGTCTCCTGCTGCCCGGGGCTTCAGTGCCCGCGCCGTAGCTCTGCTCTCAGTTCCCGCAGGCGGTGCCCCGTCTCGGGGCAAACAGGAGCTGTAGCAGCTCAGCTGGAACGGGCGGTGGGTCGGGTTGGCTGTGCAGTGACGGGGGCGCGTTTTCCAAGGGCTCCATCCCGCTGCCGGGATGATTCGCCCGGAGGCACACGGGTGAGGTCAGGACTGGGCCGCATGGGGGTGCGGGGAAGGGGTCGGAGACCCAGTCTGGGGTCTGGGGGGTACGTGTGTGGGGGCTCAGGACAGCGAGCTGGAAATCCTATTTGACCCATTCCAAGGTGATCTCCTGGGCACCTGTGACGTGCGGCTCTGACGCGAGGCTCGGAGCCCGGGAGGTGAGAGTGTTCGAAGGACCTTTGTCCTCCTGGAGCATGTGATCAAACGGGGTCCTGCAGAGCAGCACAGGCTGAACCTGAGGAAACAGCTTATGAGACGTGTTTTCCAGACAGCCAGTTGCTTCTAATCAAACAGTGCTTCCCCCAGCTCACTGCTAGGGCTTCCCTGGTGATGCAGCGGTAGGGAATCTGCCTGTCAATGCCGGAGACGTGGGTTTGATCCCTGGGTCAGGAAGATCCCCTGGAGAAGGAAATGGTGACCCACTCCATTATTCTTGCCTGGAGAATCCCATGGACAGAGGAGCCTGGTGGGCTACAGCCCACGGGGTAGAAAGAAAGTTGGACATGACTGAGCGACTAAACGACAAGTTACCATTAGCTTGGTCTCAGGATCAACCTTCAGAACCCTTCCAGGTCGGGATCTATTTTCTGCTTCTCTATCTGTGCACGCTCCGAATAATTCACACCCTGTTACAAACTGCTTCTGGCTCTCACTGCTGGATGGCTGCGGCGCGAGTCGGGGAGGGGAGGTGGAGAGTGGGATGGAGCCCCCGCCTCCTCTCGAGGTCCCTGGGGGTCTGAGCAGGACTGGAGGGGACGGGACACGCCTCCGCAGCCCCTGGCGGAACTCAGGGCGTCCTGGGTCCGTCTCTTGCTCTTCGTGTTGGAGCCCAGCTTGGAGATCCGAGAAGCAGAAAGTGGATGTGCAGAGACGCCTGTTTGAGAGTCTTGAAGAATCATCACCGTATGGACGTCCCCTGGTCCCCGAGCCCCTGCTCAACCAGGTGGGCGCGCCCCGAGGGGGTGCACCCCTCTCCTCGTTCAGTGCACACCCCCTGGAGGTCGGGAAGGATCGGCTCCGTTGGGGTGGAGGAACAACTCCGCCCGGATCTCGACTTGCATTTGGGAAGCCCGTTTCCAAAGTGAGCAGCACTGTCCTCTCCCGGATACTCACGTGTACTCGGAGCACACGGATCAGTCACTCAGCACCTACTGTGTGCAGGCCCGGAGCTCGGCCCTGAGGATGCATGCGGGGGCGCATCTCCAGGCTCTCATCTGTGGAGGCAGGACACACAGACACCACAGCCGGCCTCGGATGGACACACTGCAGCAGCGGGCTGACCGGCAGGTGGAGAAGCCCTTAGCCGGGTGAACATCGGAGCCAGTGTTCCAGGTGGAGCGGACAGTCAGCGGGAGGGCGTGAGGCTTCAGCCGCGTGCCCAGGAGATGGCCGCCTGCAGACCGCCGCGGGCAGTGTCCGCTGGAACCTGTCCTCGGTCCATCGCCTGCGGTCCGGATGGGTGCTCCACGAGCACGGGGTGCGGGGGGCGGGGGGCGGCACACTATGCCACCTGCTGGAGCTGCCCTGGCTGCTCCCACCTGAGCCAACTGCAGTGATGCCCAGCTCAGCTCATGAGCTCAAGGGCTGGCCCAGAACCCTGCACCCTGGGTTCTGAGGAGAGGCGGCCGGGCCAGCTGCCCCAGCGCCAGCCCCCTGGTCCTGGCAGCCCTACTACGTGCTCCCAGCCCCGGCCCCAGCGTCCACGTCCAGGGCCCTGTGTGCATCCCCAGGCCTGGCAACTCAGATGTCCCTCGGGGTGGCCCAAGGGTGGGTCTTGTGGGGTCAGGGGTGTGGCCGCCTCTGCGCTGGAGCTGGGATTTGACTGGACCACACGACCTCCAGCATCTACTGCCTATTCGCTGTCCCTGGCTTCTCCCTTGGTGTGGTTTCTGTGGCCATTTGGTTCCTTTGTGCAGATGGCTCCCGTGAGAGCCTGTGCCAGGGAGGAGAATGGGAGGAGCTGGGGCCTAAGTGAGGGGTGGTTCTCTCCCAGCAAGTCACCTTTCAGGTGACCTCAAGCCTGCATTTGTAGAACCGCCGAGGGCTGGAAGAGTCTACTTGAGTCTGCCTGTTATTGCATTGCCATGGGTGGACCCAGTGTCCGAAATTCAGAGCCTCCTGACACCTTCCGAACCTGTCTCCTTCTCACCTCTGCTGGACCCAGCATGCCTTGAGGGCTGGGTGTTTGCATGGAGCCGGGGTGGCAACTGAATTACAGGATCATCACCCAGGGCACTCACACCAGTCTTCTGAGACTAGCCGGTGCTGATGGACGGATGGCTAGAGCCCAAGTTAGCACCCAAGCAGCTTCTCCTCTGGGCATCATGTCTGAAGCTCCTCGATTTGCAAGCCCGGCCTGGAGCCGTTGAGCTGCAGGAAGGCTTGAAAGGAGTGTCTCCTTTCTTGGCTCTTCCTGAGGAAACGTCAGCTCCTCTGAGTGTCCTGACGTCTTCTCTATCAGGACCTGCCACCGCCAACATAGTCACGACCCCGGCGCCCATGTAGGTGAGATGAGCCCCGAGAGGAGAGCCTGTCTGGCTGTTTGCAGGAGGCAGTGGTGGGAGCGGGGAGCTGGACTCGGTGGCGACGCAGCGGGAGGGTGGGCACCTTCGCGGTCTGTGGTCCTGGGGCAGCCCGGTGGTGGGCTGGGGCTGCTGCTGGCAAAGACCATGCTGTTCTGGAGGTCCTCGAGGGCCGCTGATGGGAGAAGGTGCTGGGGGTAGGGGAGGCTGGGGGGGCGCAGGGAGGTCCTCCAGGAATAGCCTGAGGCTCAGTAAGCAAAACTGAAACAGTGAAGAATGTGCCCAGCAACATCATCTTGGCGACCTTATTTTCTGACCCACACCAGGAAGGGACACATTGGGAAGGAAATCATTGTTTTTTCTGGAGTCGCGGCTGAAGCTGTCTCTGTTGTCACGGCCCTCTCTCCCCGGGGCTGGACTGGGAAATAAGAACCAGCTCAGGGTAAGGGGGCAGCATGCATCCCCCCAGCAATCCTGGGACTCGGGCCCATGAGCAGAGAATGCGTGTGATCCCCCTGACCTCGCCAGATACAGCTCTCCATTGGCAGGAGCCCGGAGCCCAATTGCAGGTCAGCCACTGAGCAGCCGCGCTCACCTGTCCAGTCGTCCACTGGCCTGCGTGAGCTCGATGCCTTGCAGGAGGAGCACAGGGCTGAGGGGCCATCTGATGAGGATGTAAGTTTCCTGCGGAGGGGGGTGGGGTTGAGAGGGCTGCAGGCTCTTTGCCTCAAGGCGGGAGCCCCTGGTCTTCCCACGTGAAGCCTGCTGCTTCCGCCAGCCCCAGTGGAGGGTCACAGACACGGGGCCGCCGGCTCTGGAGTTGGGAGGTGCTCCCTCCACAGCCCCCCTGACCCGGGCTGCAGCCCAGGTCCTGTGACGTTACTGCCCAGCTGTGCCCTCGCTCCCGGCTGGGAGGCCTGGACCAGGGCAGGTCGGGTGCCGTCTCCCGTGGAAGCAGTGAAGTGAAAGTGACAGTGAAGGTGTTAGTCGCTCAGTCGTGTCTGACTCTTTGCGACCCCACGGACTGTAGCCCTCCAGGCTCCTCGGGCCAGGGGATTCTCCAGGCGAGGGCACTGGAGTGGGCTGCCATGCTCTTCTCTAGGGCGTCTTCCCGACCCAGGGATTGAACTCAGGTCTCCTGCATTGCAGGCGGATTCGTTACCATCTGTATTACCAAAGTGGAGTTGAAACCTTGAAGGAGCCGCCAAAGAGGCTTCTCAGGTCAGCCTGCTGACCTGCAGCTTATCTGAGACTGCTTGGAATCAGCTGTTGTGTGCAGGTGTGTGCAGGTGTGTGCAGGAGCGTGCAGGTGTGTGCAGGTGGGAGGCAATGGGATGGAGGGCATACCACGGACAGGACCCTGCGCCCCGCCCCAGCCTCCCCTAGCGAGGAGGAGCAGAGATGACGCCAGCCTCTGCCTTCCTCGGCTGGGGCCCCGCCTCCCTCCGCTGCTTTGCTAGGTACCCGCCGCGCTGACTCACTGGCCCCTGGAGCTGGACTGCGGGGCGAGCCCGGATCCTCACGGGCGCTCCATTCTGGCACCTTCTGCTGCCTGCTGTGTGATGAATAAGCGTCTAGTGACTCACCAGCTGGAGGACAGGCCCTGTGTGCCGACGGCCAGTGAAGGCGGGGAGAGAAGAGAGCAGGACCCAGCGCCCCAGTTTCCACCTCCAATCAGCCCCCCGGGGTGGGCAGCCAGACGGCTGAGCAGAGGCGCCACGTGGGGCGAGGGCTTTCCCAGGGACCCTCCGGAGGCCGGACCGCACCTTGTGTCCACATCCCGGCAGTGTCTCCAGATAGAGACGTCCTGTTTAGAACAACAAAGAAGAGCTTCACAGAGACACAGCATCCCTGAACCACTTTAATCTTTGCTGATCTGACAAAATCAGTGAAGGCAAAAAAATCCCACTCAGATTGGATAGCTGTCCCTGGGGCGAGCCTTCACAAGCATGGAGATTAGACGTCCTTGTACACAAACCTTCGGAAGAGCACTTTAAAAGGCAAGGGAATAAGTGTCCACGTCATAGAGCTGATGAATATTCACATATAGGCAAATTTATGGAAATTTATGTAAATGGCCGAATTTCCAGTGACAGCATCGAACACAGACTCAGAAAGAGAAAAGCCAAGAAATGGGGCCTAAGTACACAGGGCCCTCAGCCTAGGGTTCAGCTGGCGGTGGGGGGGACATTGGGCCATTTAATAACTTGTGTTGGGACAGTTGGGAAGGCTTCTGGAAAAGGGCGAAAGTACGGATGTGAAAGCTGGATCATAAAGAAGGCGGAGTGCTGAAGAACTGATGCTTTTGAACTGTGATACTGGAGAAGACTCTTGAGAGTCGCTTTGACAGCAAGGAGATCAAAGCAGTCCCTCCTACAGGAAATAAACCCTGAATATTCATTGGAAGGACTGATGCTGAAGCTCCAATACTTGGGGCCACCTGATGCAAAGAGCCCACTCGTTGGAAAAGACCCTGATGCTGGGAAAGATTGAAGGTGGGAGAGAAGGGGTGGCAATGGATGAGATGGTTGGATGGCATCACCTATTCGATGGACATGAGTTTGAGCAAATTGTGAGACAGTGGAGGACAGAGGAGCCCGGTGTGCTGCTGTCCACAGGGTCTCAGAGAGAAGGACAGAACTTGGTGACCAAACAACGACAACAGACCATGGGCCAGGGGGTCTTCCCTGGTGCCTCAGATGGTAAAGAACGGGCCTGCAATGCAAGAGACCCAGACTAGATCCCTGGGTAGGGAAGAACTGGAGAAGAGAATGGCCGCCCACTCCAGGATTCTTGTGTGGAGAATCCCATGGACAGAGAAGCCTGGTGGGCTACGGTCTGTGGGGTGGCAAAGGGTCAGACACGACTGAGCGATTGAACACTTTGACTTCATTTTTGCAAAACTGGACCTGCCTTCACATAAACCCCGAAGGTACCGGCAGCAGAGGAAAGTGAGTCCATTCGTTATGATGGCCTTACAGTGACTCAGAGACAAAGGCTTCAGAAGGAAAAGTGATAATTCCAACTACATTGAAAAAAAACCCACCATAACCCAAATCAAGGTTGACAAACCACATGATATTTGCAACCCCCTGAAACACAAAGGCTGGCTTCCCACACGTACAAAGAGCTCCCAGCATTTGTGTAGGAGAAAATTCTCAGCAGCTGAGTATAAAAACAGTGGGCAAAAGATATGAACTGAGAGTTCCCAGATAAATTTTTAAAAAATATTTATTTGGCTATGCCGGGTCTTGGTTATGGTGCGTGGGATCTAGTTCCCCGGCCAGGGACTGAACCCGGGCCCCTGCACTGAGAGCATGGGGTCTTGGTCCCTAGACCCCCAGGTAAATATTGCCAGTGGCCTTGACACAAGTGAGCGATGCCACCCTGACTCTTCATAAGAGAAGTGAAAATTCAAAGCGCTCAGAGACACCACGTCTGACCTCCCAGGCTGAAAGTCTCCGAACGGCTTCCTGAGCACCCCATGGGGAAACCTGCACTCTTGTGCTTTACTAGGAGGAAGGCAGAGTGATGCGACCTCCGGGGAAGGGAATTCACCAACATCGAGAGGAAGAACAGAGGTGTTTGCCCTCAGATCCTTTATTCCAAAGACACACGTCACACATGATATGCGATGTGATTTGCAGGGAATGGTTCTTAAGAACAGACTCTGAGAAACAGCCCACACACCCGCCGTGGGGTGCTGGAGACGCACAGCTCGCGGCATCTGCAGGACAGGACACACACGTCAGTGAAGACGGGGAGTCCGCCTGTCTCTCTGTGAGCCTGGAGGAGTCACCTCCGGGGGGAAGTGTGTGCTGACAGCGAGATGCAGAGTCAGACACAGCGGGGCCTGCGAACCGACGCGTGCCTCACTGCGCTGTTGTGGTCAAAGGACTCTATATCTCATTCTTACAGCCTGTGAACGTAATCTCTAACAGTAGATTTTTAAAGCCAAACCCTGCTTACAGGAGACCCTTTTAGCAACAACGCAGCCACAGGAAATCAAACGGTGATGGTTCCCACGAGAGCCGCTCCTCAGGACCGCAGACCTGGGCCACTGACGAAGGGACAGTTTCCTTGCCAGTGAGCAGACCACCTCCTCAACACCTGGAAGGTGCTGCTCGGCCTGGGCCGGCTGACATAGGGCGTCAGACGGATCATTCCGATTCGAGCTCCTGGACCGGGGACTTGGCCTCGCTCTTCCCGGGCCGGCAGCCCCCAGACCACGCTGCTCTCAGGGAGATGTGTTGTGTGGTCCCAGGCCACTCCCGCACAGGCATTTGGACGAGGACTGGACCCCAGCCCCCTGCCTCCCATTCCAGCCTCTCGGGCCTGCAGCGGTCCATTTCCCTTGAGGCCGGAGAACCGCTTGCTGCCCGTGGGCCCGGCCCAGTGGTGACCCAGCCCCCGCCCACCTTCTCCAGGGACCCCCAGGTCTTCTGACGTGTCCCGTGTTGGCCTGAGCTGTGCTGTGGGGGTGGGTGCCCTTCCGTGGGTCGGAAGCTCAGTCCCGGGCGACTCTGCATCTGAGGACGGGGAGCCTGGCGTCTCTCCTGCAGCTGGCGTGAGGTGTCAGCTGCACGTGACCGGCGCGTGCCCGGAGCATTGTCAGCGCCTGGACGACAGGCATTGGCCATCCGCCTGCGCTGCTGTGGCTGCCGACCCGCAACACCTGCAGGGAGTCAGGGCGGCGGGGCGCTCTGCGCCCCAGCGACACTGCGGGAACAGGCCTGTGGGTGGTTGGATATTTTCAGGAACTGATTTCATGATGCCGACCCTCGCATCTCCTCATACCTAGAGAAGCACTAAATCCCTTCCTGGTGACACCAGCTCCTCGTGACGAACAGAAACTCTATAAAATAAGCTCTCAGCTGCGTTGGCCTCTCCTTGTCACCAGACCCTTATCCGCTGGCCTCCCCCACAGCCTCTGTGGAGCAGTCTCTCAGGGCTCTCTGAGCTCCTGTTTCCTGGGCTGCAGGCCCCATATTGCCCCCAATAAACCTTAACTTGCCACTCTCACATTATGTGTCTTTCTTAGTGGACAGAGGTCAAAGATATGCGGGGCAGCCAGTGTCAACTTTGGCTTCTAAGCAGTGTCTGGGCCCAACATTTACCACTTACAATCTGAAAATAGGATTAGGTTAGATGTTCCAATTAAAGACAAACACTACCCGCTACCCCAGTGTGTTCAGCTACCTGAAGCACCTTCACCTTCTTTTCCCTTCTCCCACGTGGAGCTTGGCCTCTGTCTGGAGACCCAGAGCTTCCCCCCCAAAAACCACGAGATGCCTCCTTCCTGGTCTCTTGCGAGAGCTTGGCCACCCTCATTGCTCGCCCCCTGGAAACTGCATGGGCATCATAACTCCGGGAGCCAGAGGTGAATTCCATGGTCAGCTGTGTGGGGTCAGCCATCACAGGCCTCCTTCAGGAAGAACTCTGCGGAAACCAGGAATATTCTAGGCCCCTCCAGCTGCACCCAGGACCAGGCGTCTCACGCTCTGGCCTTCGGTCCCCCCTGAAAAACTACTGGGTTTTGATTCCGGGCCAAAGTTTTAATAAAGAAAATTCATCTACAGATGTTCTGCCATCAGCCAATATATTCAGTTATTGGAACCCAGGAGATTTAGTGGCAAGCCGGTTGTTTTATTTGCTCTCTGGATGAAACCATTTTTCTTGCGTATTTAATATCCTGGAGGAATATTTTCCCTGGCAAATACTCAGAGGGGGACAGCAAATCCATTCTGAAGCCATCAGGTCGTTATTCTGTCTCCTGGTGACTCAGAGCAGGTATTTGTACATTTGTTGTCTCCTGTGTCATCAAGGAGAAATTAGGATGAGATCGGCCTGTAATTGCAGCTGCGATCACCCAACAATCCTGGCCTGATTGTCCCCGCGCAGACTCCCACCGAGGAATAAAGTCGGTGGCCTCTTAGGCTGTCTCACTGAAGTTGGGATTTTTCTATGACGAGCCAGCCCCAGGCTCTCTGGCAGAGGACTCTGCATGGCTCCCCCAGAGGTAACTTGCAAGCATGAATGGAGAAGGCCCTCCCACTTCTAAATGTTTTAATTGCAGCTCGTCCTGCGGTGGTGGATGACTTCCAGCTAATGAGGCTCTAATTAAGCTTAGGCATTTTCTACCCACCCCACCTCGTCAGGGGTCAAAGCATCTGGTGAAGGAAACCCAGTCATAACAAGAAAGCAAGAAAGGATTTTTTGGATTATTTTGTCTTGGGCTTGATGAATTAAAAAAAATGCCCAAATCTCACAAACATCAGGTTTCATTTTCTTAGGCTCCAAAATCAATGCAGACAGACTGCAGCCACAAAATTAAAAGACGCTTGCTCCTTGGAAGAAAAGATATGACAAAGGTAGACAGCATATTAAAAAATGCAGAGACATTACTTTGCCAGCAAGGGTCCGTCTAGTCAAAGCTATGGTTTTTCCAGTAGTCACGTATGGATGTGAGAGTTAGACCATAAAGAAGGCTGAGGACCCAAGAATTGATGCTTTTGAACTGCGGGGTTGGAGAAGACTCTTGAGAGTCCCTTGGACTGCAAGGCGATCCAACTAGTCCATCCTAAAGGAAATCAGTCCTGAATATTCATTGGAAGGACTGATGTTGAAGCTGAAACTCCAGTACTTTGGCCACCTGATGCGAAGAGCTGACTCATTTGAAAAGACCCTGATGCCGGGAAAGATTGAAGGTGGGAGGAGAAGGGGACAACAGAGGATGAGATGGTTGGATGGCATCACTGACTCAATGGACATGAGTTTGGGTGGACTCTGGGAGATGGTGATGGACAGGGAGGACTGGCGTGCTGTGGTTCATGGGACTGTGGGGAGTCAGGTGCAACTTTGCAACTAAACAGCAACAGCAAAGCTGACAGAGTGCGTTGGGTGTGAGGGACGGCCAGATGCTGGGAGGACAGGCAGCCGGAGCACAGGACGGAGGCAGGACTTAAAGGAACACAGGAGAAGCAATGCCCGTCTGGGGGATGGGGAGTGAGAAGCTTCTGGAAGGCGGAACCCTGAGTTACGGAGGGGAGGACGGATGTAGGGGGCACAGGTGAGGGTGTTGGGGTGTACCTGGAGGAGACCTGCTGCGTGGGTCTCACGGGGGGTGTGCAGAGGGGGAGGCTGAAGCTGTTGCGGTCAGAGGGGGCCTGAGCCAGGCAGGAGGAGGCCTGTCCACCCACAGTGCAGCGTGTGTTCAGGAGCCGAGGGCCCAGTGTGCATGGAGATCTGGTCCCGGGGCGGGTGGGGGTGAAGAGGCTCCCGACCGTTCAAGGCTCCACCCCTCCCCCAGGCTGCCCTGCTGGCCAGCACCCCCACCCCACCCCGCACTTTTCCTGGGTCCTCTGACTCCGTCTCTCCCCTCCCCGTGGTCCAGGGCCCACCCGATTTCTCAAGGGGGTGCTGACCGCGATCCAGGGAAACCCCAGGAGATCCCGCCAGCCGGTGAGCCTTGGCCAGCGGTCATGCCTTTCCTCCTCGGCGTGTCCCTCACCAGCAGGCTCAGGGGTTGAGCAGCAGGCCTCCGCCCTCCATCTCATCCCATATTCTCCCAACCATGGGCCAGAGCCCAAGGGCATCGCTGTGACCGGCAGGAACTGGCCCCACACCCCCACGGTCTCCTCGCCCAACTGGCTCCCTGCCTCACCCTGGTGGCTCTGAGGGCCCCCAGGGACGGAACCGGACGTTCTTGGACGTCCTCACGCTGACTCCGAGGGCATGTCAGCTCCTCCCCTCTCTGGTTCGGGTGCGGTGCCAGCTCGGCCCAGCTCGAGGCGGGCACTGGCTCCTCCCCAGTCCCACATCACTGGCCTGCCGTCCACCCTGCCAAGGAGGCCAGCGGCCTCGAGCAGAGCAGAGGGCAGGGCCGGGAGGAACGGCCACCCCCTGCCGTGACCTCCAGTGCTAAGGCAGGCCTTGAACGCTCTCTTGTGAGAGGGGAGTTACTTTGCCCTGTGTCTCCTCTGGGGTTCCCAGGCGGCGCTAGTGGTCAAGAACCCCCCTGCCACTGCAGGAGACGTGAGACCTGGGTTTGACCCCTGGGTCGGGAAGATCCCCTGGAGGAAGGCATGGGAACCCCCTCCAGTGTTCTTGCCTGGGGCATCCCAGGGATGGAGGAGCTACAGTCTGTGGGGTCGCAGAGAGTCGGACACGCCTGAGGCGGCTGGGCACGCAGCAGCACGCGCCTCCTCTGGCCACGTGAATCCCCGGGGCACTTCAGAACGGCCCTGTCCTGGGAAGACCTCAGGGTCTTCTCAGAAATGGGGCCCAGCTTGGCATCTATAGGCCTGGCCACATGGCCTGGGCTCCCCCGATGCGTGAGGGTTTCTGTCTCAGGGGAGCCCAGGTGGGGCCGGCCGCTTGTCTCCTGGACCCCCCATCCTGCTCCTAGTAAGCCAACTGGCCGGAGAGGGCCTGGGTTCACCTTCGCCCACTTCTCAGCAGGGTCTTTGCAAATGCCACATCGGAAGTGGGTGCCCATCCCAAGCTCCTTCTAGTGGTGACTTGGAGGAGCCTGTCTGGATGGAGCAGGTGGACTCCCAGTGGGGTTGTCTTTGGACTGAGACTCACCCTAGGGGTGGGGACCTCCATGGCGATTCTCGAGTTCCGACCTTTGCGGGACCGGATGCCTAGGGACCCGGTGGGACTTGTGTCCCGACCACACCCTGACCTCCCCTGCGAGGGACACGTACTGGAACCCGGCCTCAAGGATCCAGAAGCCTTTGTCATTTTCAAAACCTTCCAAAATGAGAAATGAAGCGAAAACATCTCCTAATATCTTTATTGTTCCTTAATCAGATAGTACAAAGTTTCCCTCTTTTTTACTTAAAAAATGTACTTTCCGCATACTGCTGACCACAGGAGCATTTCTTTCCCTTTGGAAACCAGAGTTTCCCGAGAGGAGCCCTTCTCCGTGGTTACACTATTTAAGATAATTTAACGAGAAGAGGGTATTTCCTTTAATGATTATCAACCTTGATCATCTCTACTAGGGTGAACACTGATGTGTGTGTGTTTTTTTTTTCTTTTGAGAAACAAGAAACCATCCACTTATTAATCCAAACTACGGCATTGCATTTACGACATTCATGGCATCAACTAAAGAGATACGTCACCACCTCAAGGGAGCCACAGACAGACACCGCACAATGGAGCTAGGGGGACGAGGGTCCGACGCCGGGGGCCTGCGCCTGTCCACGCATGCCGGCCGCCGCTCTGGGGGACTAGACGTGGGTCCACGGGCTTCTCGGAGTCTCAGCACAGTTCATCTAAGACACTACACACGGTTGAGGAACGCGGTGGTGATGAGATGCAGCTACATGAGCCTACGTCGCCCCTCTGTCGCCGAGCACAGCCCGGGCGGGGGTGGGGGCGCTTCAATGAGACACGACACTCACGTCCATCGAGCTGACCACGATCTACGGACAAGTCCATGCGATCCTAACAGTAGGTTGTTCTCGGTGAGAGCTGGCCAACAGTCATCGCCTTATGTCTTGAGTATATTGACCAGAAAGGGGGACCAGGGCAGGGGAACCGGGGAGCCCTGGGGCTGTGGTTCCAGCCGTCAATATGGGGGCTTCTTCCCACGTCGGGCGCCCTCTGGCTGGAGCTGGAGAAACGTGGGGGCAACGCCTCCCCACCCCACCCCTCGCCCCCGAGACGCCGGAGTCCACGCTGCTGATGAGTTTTCAGAACGAGCCTTGTTCGTCTCACGCACGTTACCTCGGCAGCTGTTCCACAGGAGTTTCCAGGCGGGTGAGGACGTGGAGCCTGGGCCCCTGGGGACCGGGGCCGGGGACTACAGCTCATCAGACCGGATGACGTGGAAGAGGGTGACGTTGTAGAGGATCTGGTGGCCGTTGTTCCAGGCGTACAGGGCGCGGTCCTTGGGGTTGTAGTCCAACATGGAGATGTGCGAGTACTTGTTCTGGAAGGGGATGTCGATGTACTCGTAGGTGGAGGCGTTGGTCTGGTAGGCGTAGTGGACCTTGGTGCCCCCCGAGTAGCCATTGGTGACGTAGAGCGTGCCGCAGATGATGAAGGCCTCGCCGGCGCTGCGCTTGGGGTAGCTGGTGTTCCAGGTCTGCAGCACCTGCAGGGACACCGGGTCCAGCCTGCTGATGACGATGTTGCCGGCGTTCTGGTTGGTGGCGTAGACGGCCCACAGCCCGTTCTCGTCCACCATGAGGTCGATGTCCGAGTGGCCGCCCCAGGCGTAGTGGTACATGTTGTTGTAGCCCGCGTAGTCCAGGCTGCGCGTCTTGAGGATGGTCTCCGTCTTCAGGTCGAACCGGATGACGATGTGGCTCTGGAACTTGTTGAAGTAGATGGAGCCGTTGTAGACCACCTGCCCCGTGCCGGACCAGGGGTGCGGGAGGCGGTGGGACGTGAAATTGTCCGTGGTCATGAAGTCCAGCATGGATCTGTACTCGCGGACGAAGCGGTTGTTGTGGTAGCCGTCCATGTACCAGACCTGCGGGGACAGCGGATCCGTCAGTGGTGCTAAAGGAGGGGTACCCCCCGCCCCGGGAAGGCACCCCCTCCCAGACTGGGGGTCTGGTGACTCGGTGCCCAGGGCGGGAGTTGGAAGGACCCGGAGAGAGCCCTAAATAAGGTCACATCCCTCCTCCACACCCATGGGGTCCTTTCCCAGGGGCCATCTCCCCATCGGGAAGGGAGCGTCCAGTCTGGAGAAAGGACACCGTGTGCGTGGACGTGGGACGCACAGCCTGGCTGTGGGCGTGGCCGGCAGGCACCCTCTGCTGTTCCCGCCAAGTGGGTGGTGGCAGAACCCACTACAGACCCTCGAGTGTGTCCGTCTGGGTGCCCCGGGGCTGTGGGTCAGCGGGCCACCTGCCTGCTCCCTGCTGTCCCGGGCGAGGGTGCACGGCAGCTGTTTTGTCTCATCTGGGAAGGCTGGCCGCCATCAGCGCGGGACGCCGCACTCCACGGGACGCTGGGCCGAGGGCACAGCCGCAGCAGTGGCCAGTCGGTGAGGCTGACCACTCTCAAGGTCACCAGGAAGGGCGACGGTGGCTCCCTAGGGGCACGTGCGTCAGGCCTGTCCTTCCGTGCCGGCCCTCACAGCGGGCCAGGCTGACTCACCGGCCCAGTGGGGGGACGTCATTAATTTGGCAGAAGGGATGCTCGGCACATAGTCACGCCCAGTCCCGGGCAAGTGCCTCTCCGAGGAATCCGGGCTTCCCCGGGCTCTGAGCACAAACCAACCGTGACAGCAAACCCGATGAGGCCCAAGTCAGGGGTTACGAGGAAGAGCTCCCCCATCGTTGCTTAAACGCCAGTTGACTCGAAAACTGTCTAGACTTGGTACAAAACGCTTTAGTCATTTTCAACCAATCTGGGAGCAAATTAGAAAGCAATGCAGTTAGTCAGAGGAAAATCTGCCAGGCTAATGCCATTCCCGGTGCATCTGTCTGGCAATAAGACAGCTGCTTTATCCGTCAAGGGCTCCGCTGGCTGCAGGAGAGATTAAGGATGTGGGAGCTTTCAGACGTGGTTTTACACATGCGTTAAAAATTTAAAAAAACAACAACAAAATGCACCCTTGCTCCTGAGACGCCCATTCAATGCTTAGAGACAGACGTGCTTTCTGTTTTTAACAAGATTCAAATAAACAAAGAACGGGGTCTCATCTGGGGCTGTTCACTGTCCTTGGCCTCTGCAGAGCAGCCCTCAGTTCTGTGGGCTGTGGAGGAGAGGGGGCACGTGCGGGGCTGGGTGGGGAGTCAGAGAGGGCGCCGGAGGCACATGCGTGATGGGTGGGCGCGCCTCCTCTTGGTTACCTCTCGGACAGGGAGCTCACTGCTTCTCTCAAGACTGAGCTCAAGTGACAGCCCCCTCTGCACCTTCTCCCGACCCCCCATCACACCTCTTTGAATATGCTCCCTTCTCTGCTGCCCCCATGAGTAGTGGGGGACCTGGTTGGGTTCATGCATCCCGGGACCTCCATCCTGTGGGCAGAGCTGGGTGAAGTCAGCGTCCAAGTTTTAAGGGTTTTTAAGCTATAAAGAAAGCTGAGTGTGAAGAATTGATGCTTTTGAACTGTGGTGTTGGAGAAGACTCTTGAGAGTCCCTTGAACTGCAAAAAGATCCAACCAATCCTTCATAAAGGAGATCAGTCCTGAGTGTTCACTGGAAGGACTGATGCTGAAGCTGAAACTCCAATACTTTGGCCACCTGATGCGAAGAACTGACTCATTAGAAAAGACTCTGATGCTGGGAAAGATTGGGGGCAGGAGGAGAAGGGGACGACAGAGGATGAGATGGTTGGATGGCATCACTGACTCAATGCACATGAGTCTGAGGAGACTCCGGGAGTTGGTGATGGACTGGGAGGCCTGGCATGCTGCAGTCCATGTGGTTGCAAAGAGTCGGACAAGACTGAGGACTGAACTGAACTGAAACTGCCCTTTCCTCGATCAGCTGGCACATTGGACACAGGGCCCAGCACTTGGCAAATGCAGTTGAGGGTGGGAGGGAAAATTAGCACAGGTGCTAGACGTTTGCCAACCAGCTCTCAGCCTGGAGGGCTGCAGCCACCTTGAGCCCCTCTGTGCAGAAAGAGAAGCTCATCACAGCCCCCAAAGGCCCCGATGGCAGCAGGCGCCCCCCTCGGCGTTCACTCCAGCCTCACCTCAGATGCCTTGTCCTTCTCTGCCTGTCCTGCGTCCCCGCCCATCCTGAGTCCCCACTCATCCTGTCCCCTCCGGGATGCTGCCCAGAACTGCTGAGGCCTGGAACCAGTGTCCTCCACCTAGATGGGGCCCCTGGGAGCTTTCACACCCAGAACAGCCACACAGACCTTGGGGGTGGAGCTGGGCATGGGCTGGTTACAGCCTCCAGGTGATTCTAACATTCAGCAGGGTCCCCGAGACCACCCCTTCCAAATGCCCAGTTTCAAGAGGCCCAGAGGGGAGGGTCTCACCCAGGGTCAAAGGTCAGTCCACCACACCCGCTGCCTGCCTTTGCGGGGCCACTTCCTCCCAGACTCCCGCCCGCAGGGTGAACCACCGCCTCCTGGCAGGACGGCTCGGGCGGCCCTGGGGGCTGAGAGCCTCCGGTCCTCCGGGCGCTGGTGACCTCGGGCCACGCTCCACGCAGGCTGCAGCTCCCTGTGTGCACTGTCCTGTGGGAAGGACGGTGGGGCCCGGGCTGAGAAGGGGAGAGCTGAGGGCACGCGGGGTGAGAATCCAGGGCAACCCCAGCAAGGAGCACCCAGCGCAGCGCTGCCGGCAGAGGGAAGGTCCCGGGCGAGTGGGGAGCCCCCCGTGGGTCTGAGGCCAGCATGCCCCCCTCCCCCAGAAGCTCCCCCATCCACGAGGGTCTTCTCACCAGAAAAGAGAAAGCAAAGCAACCTGAGGGTTCTTCCCCGGTAAACACCACGGCTAGAGCAGAGATGCCACATCTAGAGTGGAGGTGGTGACCAGCCCACTTAAAGACGCTTGCTCCTCAGAAGGAAAGCTATGACCAACCTAGGCAGCACATTAAAAAGCAGAGACATCACTTTGCCTAGGAAGGTCTGTCTAGTCAAAGCTATGGTTTTTCCAGTAGTTATGTATGGATGTGAGAGTTGGGCCATAAAGAAAGCTGAAAGCTGAAGAATTGATGCTTTTGAACTGTGGTGCTAGAGAAGACTCTTGAGAGTCCCTTGGTTCTGCAAGGAGATCAAACCAGTCAATCCTAAAGGAAATCAACATTGAATATTCATTGGAAGGACTGATGCTGAAAGAGAAGCTCCAATACTTTAGCCACCTGATACAAAGAGCTGACTCACTGGAAAAGACTCTGATGCTGGGAAAGACTGAAGGCGGGAGGAGAAGGGGGTGACAGAGGACAAGATGATTGGATGGCAACACCGACTCACTGGACATGAATTTGAGCAAACTCCAGGAGACAGTGACGGACAGGGAAGCCCGGCATGCTGCAGTCCATGGGGTCACAAAGAGTCGGACATGACTTAGTGACTGAACAACGACAACTCTTTTAGTTTTGATGCTTGATTCCCTTCAGACTGGTTGGTGTATAATTGTTTTGGTAATTAATGATAAGCACAATATCTTTTGGCATCTTAAACTGTTTTGAATTATTTCTATAACATTAACTTTTCAAGTAATTGTTTTGTTTCCATATCTTAATTTTAAATATTTTGAGATCAAGAATGATGTGTATTTCCTTTCAGTTTCACTGACTGTGATTAATAAATTGACTAATTGATAACTTAAATATATTTCTAAAAGGCATAAAGGTAGTATTTAGATGGAAGGCAAGAGAACACATGAAAAGTTTATAGGAGGATACTAACCTATTTGCATTTTTCTTTACATTTAGAACCACAAAAAATAAAAGGTTATGAAACTTACTGGCTGTGACCATAGCTGAAAAAAATAAAAAGAAGTATGTGGGCTGGTCACTGCTGAGGAAATGGCTGCTTCCAGGCTGGATGGAGGACCACCAGAGCTCAGCACCCGACTGGTGCTTAATCAATCAGCTAACCTGGTTCTAACAGCTCAGCACAAAGGCAGGGGGGCAGGCAGCCCCCTCAAGGGCTCCTGGACAGGGCTCCCAAGGCAATTCCCCCTCCCTACTGTTAGCCACAATCCCTCTTCTCTCACCCCTGTGGCCTCCTGCACTGAAGCTGACATTGATTTATTTTTTTGGAGCGAGTTATTGGTCTCCTGTGTGTGTGTATGTGTGTGTGATCAAAATCAGACAGAGAAGGAAAAGATCAAAACACAACACAACAGTGCCCTCCAGATCAATGGCCAGACCCGGGGACGTGTCGCTGTGAGCCAGCGGCTGAGCTGAGCTTACGGCTTCAGCCAGGGCTGCCAACTGCCCAGCGTTCTGGAGGGGCCTCCAGGGTTCCCTGACAGTGAGCTGGTCCCCTCCCCAAGGGGGCGGCTTCCACCAAGGCCCCTCCCGCCTTCCTGCTTGCCCTCCATCCATCACCAGGGGCCCCCTTCCTGGAGGGTAATCAAACTCATCAAGCAGAAAAGAGATATCTAATTTCCAAAAGCCTCCCTCACCACATTGATGGCTTTGCAAACTGATGTCTTCATGATAAGGGGGCTTCTAGGAGCCCGGATACTTGGTACCTGAGAAAAGATAATTTGACAAGCGCTCACTACAAAAAGAGCCGACTCAAGGGAAAAGACCCTGAGGCTGGGAAAGATTGAAGGCAGGAGGAGAAGGGGACGACGAGGATGAGATGGCTGGATGGCATCACTGACTCAATGGACATGAGTTTGAACAAACTCGGGGAGATAGTGGAGGACAGAGGAGCCTGGCATGTTGTAGTCCATGGGGTCGAAAGAGTCGGACACGACTGAGCGACTGAACACCACCACACACACAGAAAAACGGACATTGACCTGGGGACCAAGAGGCACACCCGTGGTGTCAGCTGGGGTGGAATCCTCCAGACTGGGGTTCATCCTCTGCAGCACCAAGGTCATTGGTTCTGGCTTGCAGATCCCAACAGGTCTGCTGGGTCACAGGGTGTGTGTGACCCAGCAGGAGGTGGGGAGAGGGGGATGGAGAGGAGGGTGAGTTGGGAGACAGCCTGAACCTCAAAGGTTAATATATGGTTAATAAAACCACTAACCAGCCTTTCCTAAGACCTTGGGCAACTCATGCGAGGCTTCTGGCCCTGGTTTTCCCATCAGCAAAGGGGAGACAAATGATCTCCGGCTGGAGGGCAGCTGCTGGGTTCAGCGAAGCCAGGCACAGGACCTCAGCTGAAGGCTGGGCACAGCTGTCGCTGCGTCAGGGAAACCAAATGCTTCCTCTCGTATTCCAACATGTACACACGACGTGCTCTGCCAGCCCCTGGCACACGGGGCTCTCGGGGTCTGCCACCATCACCTTGTTTTCACGTCGGCATTACTGATATTTTCACCCATATCTGTGACAAGAGCACACTCCTAACCAAGTTCAGAACCAAAGTGGCATTTTCGGGGAGGCGGGGGAGGGAAAGAGGATGAAATTGAAGAATAGGGTAACATTCGGCCAATTAAATCGTTCACTGGTAATTAACTGGTAATTCATTGGCCAATTAAGCTGTTAGAAAACGTCCAAGCACCAGCTCCCTGTCACGACTCAGAAAATAAAATGAAAATGAACATCGCCCCCAGAATCCCCTACTCGGTCGCTTCCCAGGTAGCCGGCCCCGCCCCCCAGAGCCCCGCGCCTTTGCCCCCAGGGATGAGGTGTGGGAAGGGGCTGCTGGTGAGGTGGTGGGGAAGGTAGAGGTCTTTGCATAAAGAAGATGCGCAGGCCGCTAGGAGGCCGGAAATGGTCCCTCAGGCATCTCCCCCAGAAGGAGAACGGTGCCAGAGGCACCGTGCAGATTCCCTACTGAAAAAGAAGCCATCACACCATCTAAAGGGTGGGGCGGGGCCGGGGAGGTACAGCGCCTAAAGGGGCGGGGCCTGCGAGGTACAGCGCCTAAAGGGGCGGGGCCGGGGAGGTACCGCGCCTAAAGGGGCGGGGCCTGCGAGGTACAGCGTCTAAAGGGGCGGGGCCTGCGAGGTACAGCGCCTAAAGGGGCGGGGCCGGGGAGGTACAGCGCCTAAAGGGGCGGGGCCGGGGAGGTACAGCGCCTAAAGGGGCGGGGCCGGGGAGGTACAGCGCCTAAAGGGGCGGGGCCGGGGAGGTACAGCGTCTAAAGGGGCGGGGCCTGCGAGGTACAAAGACCAAGTCTCAAGACTCCTTTCTTTTAAAAATCCTCCAGACCTGGCTCAGAGGAACTCACATTTCTAACCTCCTTTCTCAGTCTGCCTGCGAAGACTTGAGTTTTTTTTAAGTGCTTCTTTTCTAAACGTCCTTCAGGCAAGGGGCTAGATAAGAGAGGCCCCGGGCTGCTGGATGGTTCACCCTGGGTGTCAGCGGTCAGGCGGTGGACCACCAAAGGACAGGAAAGCCACAGCGCCTCCCCTGCCCCGAGAACCGGAGCCCTGGGCGTGCGGAAGCTCCCTTTGGTGGAAGGCTCCCGCAGGCTGCGGTTAGGGTCGCCATCCGGGCTGAGCCGGCCGGCGCCACCCTCCCAGCCAGCCCTCTGCTCCCCACACCCCAAAGGGACGAAGGGACGCCAACCACAGAACTCGGCTGCCAGCCCCCCCGCACCCCCCCGCCCCGCATCCCCATCAAGACAGATGTGGCGCTTGCTCGCCTCTTTCCTTTTATGAGGTTTCTACCCAGGGGGAAGAGTCTAGGAAAAAAAGAGCACGGCTTTTTTCCTAAATCAAAAGAGAACATGAGTTTCTATCAGCCATGAAAGGAATGGCAAATGAAACACAAATGAGAAGTCATTAAAACAAGAAGGCCTGACCACTCTCTTCTCCAGCAGAGTCGGGGCAGGGCTGAGACTGCGGGAGGTTTCAGCCCAGAGGGCCCCCCTCGGCTCCCAGGGGCAGAACCACGCCTGGGGAGGGGGTCGCAGGCCTCCCCGCCTCACGCCGTCCCTGCCACGGTCATCCTCACACAGGACCCGCCTTGCAGTCTTTGACTCGGGGTTAGCACAGGACCTCAGCAAGGGACCTGAGCCGCCCCCCAAAGCCCCCGGGACCCCCGCCCCCTCACCAAGGGGCACCAAACTTCGCTAATCCATAGACCCTCAGACCCAGGCCCGACGGAGGCGACACTTACCCTGTTATCACCTTCTGGGGCCAGGGGGTCGGTCATCCAGGAACCAAACCTGGAGCCGGAGGTCTTGATGGTCACAGGGTCACTTATGCCAGTCAGCTTGCCACATGCTGCAAGAGAGGGCCCAGTGTGGGAGGGTGAGTGCCTCAGCCTGACCCCCACGCCACCCCTCCCTCGGCTGTGACCGGGTGCGCCTGCCCTGCTCTTGCCAGGACACCCCCAGCCCCAAAGGGCAGAGAGGCCGTCCCCTCCCTAAGGCAGAGAGCAACTGAGGCCAGGGTGGGCAGGGAGAGGGAGATGCACCCCTAGGCCTCAGGCAGGGGTGCGATGCCAGAACTACATCTCTGGGGTGGGGGGGGGTTGGCCTTGCTCAGGAGCCTCTGGGAAGCAGGGGCAGCAGTAGCTGCACCTCCTACGGCTGTTGGGGAAAGTCTACCCAAGCCCGGGTGCCAAATGGAAGGTGCCAGACAGTCAGAACCAGACCAGGAGAAGGCTGCTCCTTCCCGCTAGAGGGCCTGTGAGCTTCCCCAGGCTTCCTACAGCCTCGAGGAGGTGCCCAGGGGCCAGGGGGCTGGAGTGCGGGTGACGGCGCCCTGGGTGTGCCCTCGGCGCTCTCCTGTCACACAGATGGAGGCTGGAGGCTGACCGACCAGCTGGGACGTCCTCGGGGCCACGCTGCTGCTCGGGCAGGGCCAAGCTGAAAGCCCGCACTCCTAGGCATCCAGCAGAAATCCCCCTCCTGCCACCTGGACGCCAACCTGCGCACATGGCCCTGAAGTCTGCAGGAGAAAGTGAACCCAGCCGGCGTCACAAGGACAGAAGGTTACTGAGCCACCAAAGCCCAGTGGCCCCTGGACACAGGCAGCGGCAGGTGCTGCCTGTGGGGTCGTTGGCATCTGCAATGGCCTCTCTTTCCTGCAGGCCCGGCTGGCCTGCCTGTGTCCCGGGCTCTGCCTACTGTGCTACACTGCCGCCGTAATAGCAAATGCACAGGTCGGTCTGCCAAGCTCAGAGAACACCTGCGCGTTTTCAGATTGCCTGTGACTTAACCCGGGGGACTGCGGTTTAGCCGGGGGTCGTCCCACCAGGCGAGGTGGGCCCAGACTTGGGAGCTGGCCCCAGGGAGAGACCAACACCCACTGCTGCAGTGTCTGGGGTGCCTCCCACTTTCTCCCCAAACATAAAATGGGGTGAGTACATGCATAAGCATCACTGAACAAGACTGGAGAGATGACCCCCCTGCCCACCCCCACCAGCACCCCGTCTCTCTATCCTGACAGCTTGCATCCGGGCATTGCAGAGGCTGTGGGCAGGGATCAGGGGCCGACTGCAAGCAGAAGAATCGCAGCTTTACCCCCAAATTCCATCAAGTCACGAGGCCCTGCTCCCTGGGCTGCTGCCTCTGGCCCAGATTTGAGAAAGGAGCTCAACTATTTTTACTCGTCCATCCCTTCCCAGGATCTATTTTGCCTGTTCCCCTTTCAGAAGGAATTCTGAATTTGCCTTTTTAAATACTGTCCCCTCAGGGCCCCGGCCCTCGCTGGTGAAGCCCTGAAGGTCTGGAGTTCTCCCCACTGCTGAGCCAGGGACGGTGGTCCCGTCGGCCCCTGGAAAGAGAAGTCTTAAGGCACCATGACCGACCCCAGGGCGTCACGGTTCTGCCCCGGGTGGGACACCAGCTGGCACTTATCATGGCACACCTCCCAGCAAGATGTCCGTCTCGCCAACGCTCTGTCCTACCGTCACCGGCCACACCCGGCCTGGGATGCGTTTCCCCGAAGGGGCGCACTCCCGGGAAGGGGACGGACAGCCATCCTCTGTAACACACTCGGAGGGCGAGGACGGCGGGTGGGCTCCCAACGCAGCTTGGCTGCTGGCCCAGTTCTCTGCGCCCCCGGGACTGTGCCTGGGCCGACCCCCGAGCAGGACAGCCAGACACCCCCCCACACACACTTCTGTGCTCACCTACACGGATGCCGCTGCAGGGCCCGCCTCCTTCTGGACCGCGCCCACCCTGCCTCCCGACCCAGGTGGGGCCCGCTCGCCCCCAGGCGCAGACCTGGGTGTCTGGGTCCCGACAGGACACCCTGGGATGCCCGTCCCCCACAAGGCTCAGCCTGCAGCTGTCCAAAATGAATGAATGAATCGCCTCTCAGGAACTGAGAGGGATAACCGTGCGCCTGCCAGAGCACCCCTCCACCCCTGCTTTGCCACGTGACTCGGCAGAGGGACGGGTGGGGGGCCATAAAGCTGGGCCGCTTCTGAGTGCGCCCTCCTTATCTGTCAGGACACCCACCTCAGAGGCGGGCGTGGGGCGAGCACAGGAACCAGCGAGAGCTCCTGGGAGGATGCCCGTCACGAGTCACGTGCCAGGGAAGGCTGCGGCCACAGGCTCACACTAAGACGGCGGCTGAGTCTAGGCGGGGGCTGCCCTGGGCAATCCCGCCGTGTCCGGTCCCCTCGTGGCTGTGGAGCGGGGGAGCCGGCGGTGGGGGAGCCAGCCTGCGGGGGAGCCGGCGGTGGGGGCGTCTGCGACAGCCCCACCCTGCCCTGGGCCGAGGTCTCCCCCAGCCCCTCGGAGGGAGCCTCACAGTCACCGGGGAGGACCGGCGGAGCAGGGCCTGGCCGGCCCGGGGCCCGCTCGCCCAGCTCCTGGCTACGGGCTGACTCTGCTCTCCTCCGGGGCTGCAGGCTGCCCACCCTGCTTGAGTCAGGGAGTTAGTTTTGGTTCTCCGTCCAGACTGGTTCTGCCAAGACCTGGGGAACTGACAGGATCTAAAAAAGCCCCACGGCAGAGCCGCGAGGCCGAGTCTTGGCACACTCAGCTCACGGAAGTGCCCCTCACCTGTCAGGAGGGCTCGGGCTTCGGGCGGGGGTGGGGGGCTGGGGAGGAGGCAGGCTCGGGAAGCCAGGCAGGGGCGGCAGGCGCGTCCCAGGAGGCCGGCGCGGGGGCACAGCACCGCCAGCTGGGGCCCCTGAGAGACGGTCTCGGGGGCGGGGGGTGGCCTGGTCACAGCAGCCCCACTGCTGAAACCCTCGGGCGCCCGCTCTTCCTAGAAGGTCACTTCTGAACAAGCGCGCGGTCTCCGAGGGGCGCCTGAGCAGGCCCAGGGTGCCGTGCCCACCCAGGAATCGGGCCAGAGGCCAGACTGAGGGGCTGATGGCCGCGCGGCAGGCGGACCAGTCCGCAGACCGCCCATCAGATCCGTCTCCCCTGGTCCCAGCTTTTATCCTGTCCAGACTGGGAAGAGTGGAGCTGGCAGAGCTGGCCAGGCTGGGCGCTCAGACAGACAGGTCCCTGCGGACAGACCACCTGGGCGGGGCCGCCTCCCTGCACACGAGCCCCGAGGGGCCGCCTGTCTCCCCTCCGCACCCAGCAGGGACGGGGCGCTGGGAGGCCTCTCGCCACGGGCAATCCTGAGCACCCCCGGAAGGAAGCCGGTTGGAGGTGGGACACCGGCCTGCATGGACCCCACTGAGGTCACTGCCGTGAGCAGCACTGGAACTTGGGTTCCCTCCATCCTCACCATTCTAGTCAGACCCCTGCAGACTGAGACACCCTGAACTCCCCTCTCAAAGCTGAATGTAAATCCATGTGTACTCTTTTGTCCACTGTCCCTGGCTCTGTCCAGGCCCCTGGGGAGGAGGTATGGGTCCCTCTCTCTGTCTCCTTGACCTTTGACCTTGAGCACTGGAGGCCCAGGATGGATGGTCTGACTGGAAGAAGTCCTAAAATTAGCTAGTTCTCTTAGTTTGGGCTTCCCAGGTGGCACTAGTGGTAAAGAGCCCACCTCCCAATGCAGGAGACATAAGAAACTCAGGTTCGATCCCTGGGTCGGGAAGATCCCCTGGAGGGGGGCGTGGCAGCCCACTCCAGTCTTCTCGCCTGGAGAATCCCATGGACAGAGGAGCCTGGCGGGCTACAGCCCGAGGGGTCACAAACAGGTGGACACGACTGAGTGCACACACGCACCTCTTGTCTTACAGACAGGACAGTTCTGGCGCTAACGGGACACGTGGATGAGTACGAGTGGCGTTCCGCGCTGGCTCTGAGTCTCTGCTGCAGCTGGGTTAGCTGCTGCGGCTCCGACTGCAGGCTGTCCGGGGCCAGGCGGCAGTGAAAGCTGGGGGCGGGGCTGCCGGGCCGTCCTGCCTCCCCTGCCTGGGAACCAGACGACTCCTGAGAGACGTGAGGCCAGGGTCCAGTTCCCGACATCAGAGTTTCTGATTCAAGTTCTGGCTGGGCCATTAGGAAAAACACACAATCCCATTGAGAGAAGGATTTAAAAATGGAAACAGAGAACCAGTGGAACCAGCAGCCCTTGTGTTTTTTTTTCCCCTGTGCATGTTTTGGGCTCAGAAATTGTCAGCAATGTCGATGTGAAAAGGAGAGACCTAATTAAGAGGACTTTGGGGAAACTGCAGGGAGACCCTGGTCCCCAGTCTCACAGCCGGAGGGTCACCGAGATACTCTTCACTAGAGCAAGGTGCCTACAGGCAGATTGAGACCCGGAACCAAAGGGCGAGGTGGGGGGGGGCGTGGTGCGGGGAGGGCAGGGGGCCAGGGAAGAACTGCTGGCCCCAGAGATGCTGTGTCTCCAGGAGTTCTGCCCGCCCAGGACGGCATCGTGAGGGTGGCTGGCTTCCTTGTGCTATGCTCATCGGCTGCCTCCCAGCAAGGAAAACAGCCTGCTAAGATGGTACCTGCTTGTACCTATCTGTACCTAATATAAAGACTAAATGAAGTAGCCACAGAATATTAGTTGGGATTTAAGTAGCCGAGCTTGAATGAGAACCTAGGATGTGGGGGAAGCAGCAGCTAAATCTGCGACCTGTGGTCTGTCCATCTACCCACCTCCCTGTCTGTCATCTGTCTAGCTGTCTGTCTACCTGCCAACCACGTCTATCACTTACTACCTCCTCACCTGCCTATGTGTGCCTCCACCACCTCCTCCGCGCCGGGCGCGGTCAGTCCGTGATGTGAACTCACGCAGTGACCCCAGGGCGCAGGGACCCCTCTGCTTTCGTTTCACAATGAAGAGGTGGCTGAAACCGGAAGTGGTCAGTGCCCTGGTTGAGCCACACGGCCCTCACTGCTTTAGGACACCACCGGGCGGGGTCCTCAGTTTGCTGCCCTCCTGAATCGCCTGCCAAGTGTGGTTAAAGGCAGACCCCACCCCAACCCCACCGCCACCAGCTCAGCAGGCCCCCCTCGGGGTCAAGGTCCTTCTGAAGAAGGAGTTACGCACAGAAGCGGCTGCACTCAGCGGTGGAGAGCAGGGCTCCGGGGGCCCGTGTCCTCTCTCCTCACTCCCAAGAGGGCCGTTTCAGCGGCCCGAGGGCGGCCACGTGAAAGCCCCAAGATCTCTAGCCTGAAAACGAATTCACCGAGCTGCTAAAAATAGGCCGAGTTTGGAGAGGAAGGCCGCCCGCCTGGGCTGGGCAGCGTTCTCCTGCAAAGGCGCCTAGTGTCTCATCAGCGCTAACTTCTCTCTCTGAATTTCCACCTTGCTGCTTGATCGGTTAATCAGAAAATGTGGAGGTTTAATCTTGGTTTCTCACTGGTCTACATGGTCTGTGTACCAGGGAATAAAAACAGTGCTGTCTGAAACGAGTCACAAGAGAGAGCCCTCAGGGGAGCACCTGAGTGTCTGGAGAGTGGGACGGGAGCACGCGTCTTTACAGGCAGAAACCAAGACAGGGTCTGCCAGAAGTCACAATGCAGCCCATGACCATTGATAAGCCTGACACCCAGTAACATTGCAAACACTCCTGCTGACTCCCGGATGCTGATATGCGAGGGCGGGTGGAGACAGTCCAGCCCAGACCCATCCTGAAACTGCCCCAGGTCACCCAGCCCCAGACACAGCAGGACTTGGGGACCAGGCAGCACATGTGAAAAACAGCAGCACAGAATCGCTCATGTGATGCTGACAAGTGTACACATCACAATAGATTCCTTCTAAGGCTCCAACATCGCTCACCGCCCTCACTGGGCCTGGGGGACTTTACCAGGGCACCTAGAACACCGTTAAAAATAACCCAGACATGGGAACCTGTTCAAACAAAAGGTTGGCTGACTCTGTCTCCTTGCCCTTTGAACGTTCTCTGTCTCCCACCTAATAGCACTGCGGATATTTTTTTAAGTACTTGTTCTTTTGGGATGTTTTAAGTTTAAAATAAGGCATTTGTAGTGTGCGGAGGGGGGGGGGTGGGGGATGAAAAGAGAATCAAGTGAAAACACCAGCTAAAACCTAAAGAAACTTGTGCATAAAGCAGAATTACCCTAAATTACTCTAAAAAGTAAACAATTAAGAAGATGAATAACCTTTGCATTAGAAAACAGTGAGTGAGAAGGTCCAGTCAATCTTTTCTAAGAGAACCTAAAAGTGGAATTGGGATTTAAAATGTGCATTTTCAAAGTGGACTCCGACATGGACATGTTAAGATTTGCTAAATTAACCAGAAAGTTGATAAGGTGATGGGTATCCACCACAAACAAGACTCAGAAGGAACCCGGGGGCCACCGGCTCCCAGCCCCGCCCCTCCAGGTGCTAGAGGGACTCCCTTGCTTGTTATGAACGGCGAGCCTTCCGCCTTGACGTGATGGAATTTTCTGCATGGCTCGGTTTCTCAGGGAGCTTTGTCAGCCCTCTCCTGAAAGCTGGAGGGAATGAGATGTGCTTCCAGCTTTATGAAACTCCTGTCCTAAAAAGCCACCCAACACACACAGACACAAGCGCACACACACGCGTGCACACACACACACTCTTCATCTAACATCAATTTTCCAGATGTGCAACTCAGTGGGGTCTGTGAGCTGGCCTCTGCATGGGTTGGACAAGGCCCTAGGACAGGCGTGGCCTACACTCCTCAGCTACCTGTCCAGGCAACCCTACCCAGGAGCCCTAATCCAGCCATCGCTCGGGAAGCTAGGCGGGCGCTGTCCGGCTCAGCACCACTCCCTGGGCCTGCATGAGCCAGTGGCGGGTGGGCGATGCAGTGCCCGCCCGCGGGGTTCTGGGCCTACCTAGTTTTTGCATGCATGCACGGAGCCTTTCTTCAAGATTGGACACTCTGCTCTGCAGTTCATCGTAGTCATAGGCGCCAATTTCCTCTTGCAGCTCGTTAAGCACTGCCGTCAGATTCTGGACCTCCTCCTTAAACTGCAATACCAATTTGGCATCGGCCTTGTACTCCTCCAACACAGGTATCAAAGGCCTAAGTTCATCCATTTTCGCTTTTATCGCCTGCAAGGTTAAAATAAGCTGGGTTCAGTGCGATGCGTGCAAAAACTTCTAACACCCTGCCTTGGCCTGGCTTCTCCCTAGGTGAGGGAAAATGTCCACACTCCCGCTTTCTTTATAGATTGATTTATTCTGGCCCACAGGAGTTAGAAGAGTATATTAAACAGTCTTCAGAACACCAACATATTTGGGAAAGGTCTTTATTGTCAGTTTAGAATGCAACATCTTAAGGTTACATGCTTTAAGTCACATACACAAAGTATCTCTTTTTTTGTTTGTTTTTGTTTTTTCAAAAAATGCATTGACAAGGGTTCAAACTATTCATGAAATGCATCTACAGTCACATGCAAAAGAGATCCTGGCTGTGTTCAAGGTTCCTTAGGGGCATGGTGCTAAGTAACGGGAAATAACTGTAAAAATGCAGGGTGCAAAAAAGCTCTCTGGCCCTCTGTCATGGTTACATGGGAGTGGACTGCTTCTTCAGTCTGCAGCATTGAAAAAACTCTTTTAAGTTAGCCCTGCAAGCAAGAAAATGAGAACTGTTGAAGAACTAGCTTACTAGCCTGCCTGAAACAGACAGCCATTAACAGACAATATTTTAAACATCACTTAAAAAAAATCACGCTTCAAGACTAGAGTCAGTCTAGACAAACTGCTTTCACAGTCATTTAGGTACCCTCACAGCAATGGCTGCTGCAAGAGTTCAAGGCAACTGAGGTGTGGTCAGAAGCAAGGGTAGCCTGACGTCCCCCCCAGAGCCCTAAGGATTCAAGATGTGGGAACTAGGAGAGCATGCTTGCAAAGAGGAGCTAGCCCATGGATGCTGAAGACATCCCTAGAGGAATCTGAGACTACCCCCGGGAAGAGAGTGCTGGCCTTATGAGGAGAGACACAAGCTCTTTTGGGTCAGGCAGGTCAAAGTCTCTTTCTGAGATAATTCATGGTGACATGTCAGAAGCAAGGACAGGTCCACCTGAGTCCGGCAAGAGAGATCAGCTCATTTCTCCTCAACAGAATCAAGCTGTTATTATTTTATTTATCATATAGATTTATAACTTCATTAGCTTGCCATTTCGTCTATATAATGTATGGCTTTTACAAGCGAATTAGTTCTTGCTGCACGCAGGGAGAGCATCAAAGGAAAACATTAGCATAAAAAGGCCGGAAGACCCAGGGCATCAGCAGTTTGCAGTCCAGCGGGGCTGTGTAACCTGACCCGTTCATTTACATCTGGGCTCGGTTTCTAATTAACATGCGTGTATGCCTTAATTAAGCTGCATGTCATTTGTCAATTTAATGATTCTGAAGCTGAGTAAACTCTAGGTGTATATATACATATTTGTACATATGTATATATAATTTTAGGTGAAACCAACTCTGGCTTTAACATCAGAGTTATGTGGGGAAAAGAAAGACTAACCGGGAGGTGAGAAAGATGCTGGTGTCTCTCTGCCTTCCCTGCAAATCTACAGCAAGCCCTGTTGCCGCTAAATTAGGTCAGATGTGAAGAACTGCCCTGAGCAATCCCTGCTCAGAAATGGCTCTAATCAATTAAGCTAATCCTTGGCTAATGTGATTCACCTGCAGCAGCTGTGGGTCGGGAAGGACCAATCGTGTCCCTTCCCAGCTAATCTGTGACTTGGCTGGAGAAGCTGGGGCCTGGGGTCCTGGCCTAGGAAGCCAATAGGTGTGAAAACTGCACTTCAACTCTGCCCCTTTCAAGGTGAATCTCCGCCAAACCAGGGCAAGGGCAGGTGGCCTCTCTACTTCCAAGGAAGGCTGCCGTTGGCAAGAGAAAGGGCAATCCTTGCTGGGATCCTCCCTGGCTTCAAACTGCTATTCTGGAGGGAGAGTGGGAGCAGGAGGTGGAATCACAGTCTCAGGGAAGGGGAGGGGAGAAGGGGGAGGGGAGAAAAAGGGGGGAGGGGAGAAGGGGGAGGGGAGAGAAAGGGGGAGGGGAGAAAGGGGGAGGGGAGAAAAGGGGGGAGGGGAGAAAAGGGGGAGGGGAGAACGGGGAGGAGAGAGAAAGGGGAGGGGGAGGGGAGGGGAGGGGGGAGGGGGGAGGGGAGGGGGGAGGGGGGAGGGGAGGGGGGAGGGGAGGCGCAGGGGCCGCAGCCCGCGTACCTTGAACTGCCTGGCCAGGTGCTGCTTGTGGCTCTCCTCCACCTGTCTGAACTTGGACTCCAGTCCTTTCATCTGGTTCTCCATCTTCTCCACGTACTGCAAGTCCCTCTGGGTCCGCCGGTCCAGGACCTCTATGGACTGAGACATGTTCTGCACCTGTCAAAAAGGCAACAAACAGGTTCAAGGCCGGAGCGTGCGGCAGGTGCCCGGAGACTGTATTCGCCTCCGACAGAGACGGCAGCGGGAGCCAGAGGCGGCCTGTGCATGACTTAACTAGTTTGTCACCAGTATCGGGTTCTTATGAGCGAGAATCCCTGACAGAGCAAATGGTCTGGTCAACATTTCCTCTGCCATCTTCCAGGACGTGTTCTTACAACCAGGGTGCAGGGACCTCTGGCTCCCTGTTGGTCAAAGCTCCAGGCACATGACTTTGGGTGGCTTTTTCCTTCGGGGGGGACAGGCGATTGCGTCTATTCTGCGGGATGAGATCCATCAGGCACAAATGCCAACAAACATGAACAGCATGGCTGGGCTCCTCTATCTCCAGGTACAGATCTCTCCCCCTAAACCTCAGGGCTGAGGGCACAAGCACAGTGCTGGGGAGCAGGGGACGGGCTCCCTACTCCCGCATCTCACACACCATCCATCACACCCCACAGTATCATAGGCAGATGACTGCTCTGCAAACATGCACATTCAGAACACAGAGTCAGGAATCAATCACCCAGCAAATGAAGAATCGCTGTTCTACATCTTTACAGGCAGATCTGAATTGATTCTAGCCTCAAGATGAAACTTTAATATTCAACAGGGTTCCAGGGAGCTTAAAAGAAAAACAGTTTTAGTGCAGCTACCTGCCAGTGCATTCTATTTTCAGGAAGCTGGCTTGCCCTTCTGTGCCCAGGCATTGAGGGTGGCGGGGAGGAGGAAAGAGGTGCACAGTTGCCGTCTGGGCCATTTTCTCAGAATCTAATCCAATCACTAGTGGGAAGATAACTCCATAATCGCAAATCTTCATTTCTGATTTTTTTTTTTTTGTGCTGAATTTGCAGATACCCTCCCTTTTGGGAACAAAATTGCTTTGGGTGTGAGGCTCAGCTTTGCCTGGTCAGTAACAAAAGAGATGATAGTGCAGTCCCCCCACCAAATAAAACAAAAGACCAAGAGGCTTCTCAGTCGGAAAACTGATGCTGCTCAACTTGGCGCTGAAAAATGCCTGGGGTTCTATGGTTTGTTAGCTGAGAGTAATACACAGGAATTCGGCTTAAAATTTCAGGTTTATAATATATAGCATGTAGACGACTATGACTCCCTCTGACCCTTTCTCTTTAGATGCTTCAGGGAAAACTGAAATATATTTATCACCTCAGGTCTTCCTGTCCCCCATCCCTTCACAACGGTTTATTCTGTCTCTTGAAGTAACTGCAGACTTCTGAGACAATTTGTATTTCCTTTATCCTTCCAGGCCCAGCACAAATGCCACCTCCTCCAGGGAGGCTTCCTTGATGCACCAAGCCAGAAGTGGCCATACACCAGCTGGAAACACCATCACCTTGTTGGCACAGCAGCCACCCACGTCCCTGTCTCAACCGCCAGGAGGGAGGTGGAAGGGCCTCGTTCACACATGTTACCAGCACACAGGTCCAGCCCCTAAGGCACAACCATAGCAGGAGGAAGGAACAAAAACGGCAGCTGCAGTCAAGACCCTGCTCCCCCTCTCCCTCCTGGGTGGACTGCTGAAGCCACAGCAGAACCCACGAGGCTGCTGACTAGACTCTGCTGGCAGAAACGGCTGGGCCCTCGTTGGCGTCAGCCTGATCTTCTCAGGAGGCCACACACAGATCTCCCGGCTGTTCAAAGGCCAGAAGGATGCTGTTAATGAATCTGTGTGTGTCAGTCGCTCAGTCGTGCCTGACTCTGCGACCCCACGGACTATAGCCTGCAAGCTCTCCTGTCCATGGAATTCCCCAGGCAAGGACACTGGAGTGGACTGCCATTCCCTTCTCCAGAGGAGCTTCCCAACCCAGGGATCGAACCTGGGTCTCCTGCATCACAGTCAGATTCTTTACCATTTCAGCTACAGGGAAGTCCTGTTTTAATGAGTTCAAGTGGTTTTAAATCAAATCTTAAATTTAGGAAACACATTTTAAAGATGCCAAGCTACTCATGTGCCCTATGGAGTCCCCCCGCCCCCCTCCAGTCCTTTCCAGGCTAGGTGAGCGCCTCCCTTTCCCTCCAATCAGAGCAGATAATCAAGCCCCAGGCGGCAGTCAGGCCCCTGGGTCTCAGACCCACAGCCTGGAGGCCCTCTGCTGAGCGCGTCCACCCTCCTCCTTGTAGGATGTGTCCCCAGAAGCCAAATGAGGAGCTCAAGGTCACACAGCTGCCAACGGCACGGGGCACCCCTCCCCACCTCGCCGAAGGTGGCCACAGGTGCTGAGACGGGCAGGGCGGCGGCCAACCGAGTGGCCGACACCCCAGGCCTGGAGGGGACCCCGATCACTAGTGTCTATGGGACGTTTCCTAGGCTTCAGGCACTGGGCTATGGATCGCATCTGATCTTTACAAAACCCCGGGAGGCAGGCCCTATCTCAAGTCTCACTTTACAGAGGGGACCTAGGCTCAGAGGAGTTAGGTGACTTGGCAACTGTCACACAGCAGACAGCCACCAGGCAAGGCCTGGACCGACTCCAGTGCCCACCCTTTCAAATTCTGGGCCTTGAGCTTCTTCCCAGAGAACAGAGCCTGAGGCTCTAATTCGGGGAGTGGGGGCCAGGGGGGGTTGCGTCCAGGAGACACTGGGGCCAGGCTCCTCCGAGACTGCAGGCCTCAGCAAAGCAGCAGCAAGTCTCGCCTTTCGGAAGCTCCTGGGGTGGGTTTTAACAGGACCCCAGGCTGGAGAAGCAGGCAAGCTGGGACCCCAGCCCCAGGGACAGAACAGATGCTCAGAAGGAAAGAGGAGGAGGGGGTGGGAGGCCCCCCACACACACCGAGGACGGCTTCTGCCCCAGAGCACAGTGCCCGCCAGGGTGTAAAATCGGGCTCTAAATTTTTCAGCAGTTGTGCCAGGCGGACACGGGCAGGAAGGCGCCCGAGGCCAGGGTTCCCGGGGGCTCTGCATGCTTTCTGGAGCTGAGCAGGCCTCCCAGAGCTCGAGGGCTGCCCGCCAGCCCCCGAGGCCCCTCCAAGCTCCACCCTCTCCTCCACAATCATGAATAATTAAAGGCCCAATTAGGCTCTGGTCTAGTTTGCTGGTAATAAATGTGTGTGGAACCTGTTACATGCATCTTTAATTCTTTTACAGTGATCTACTGGGGTGGCTGAAGATGGTGGAGCAGAGCCCACGGGGTCCTCGAGGGGAGCCAGGCAGCGGCTCCTCCACGCCCTCCTGCTCTGGGGCTGGGATGAGGCCCCTCCCAGCCCCTTCCAGAGGGCAGAGCTCCAGGAAGGCCCCACCCTGCCCTCCTGATTTCCAGAGAGGGCCTGCGGAGGGCTGTGGGGCCTCCAGTCCCCCCAAGGAGGGCCCACCCCGACGGAGGCCCCCCAGGGCAGGCCCCCGCACCCCTCCTCCACAGCTCCTGCTGCTCAGCTGATGGGGGAGTCATGGCTTTCCTGGGGCGTGTGGTATACATGTGTGCATAAGTGAGCACTCGTATGTGATGTGTGTGGTGTATGTATACATGTGTGTTTGTGTGGTGCATGTGAATTTGTGTGCGGTGTGTGTGTGTGTTTACGTATGATTGTGCGTGGTGTGTAAGTTGTGTGTCCTTGTGGGGTGTGCATGTGACTGTGTGTCTATGTACTTGTGTGTATGTGTGGTATGTGTGTATATGAGTGTGTTTCTGAGTATCTGTGTGCATTTCCATGTGGTGTATCTACACGAGTATTTGTGTGCATTTGCGTGTGGTGTCTGTGTATATTTGTGTGCAGTTGTGCACATATGCATATGTGTGCGTGTGGTGAGCGAGGGGTCCCGAGGTGCCACACGCCATCTCCCTGGGGAGGGTGGTGATGGAGCAGAAGGGCTGCCCTCTCCCCCGCCCCTAGGAGCTCTCGGGACACCCAGTGCTCAGGTTCTGAGACCCCACAGCTCCCATGTGGACTGGCCCAGGAGGCGGGATGGCCGTGATCCGGAACACGGGCCTCCGTGGGGGCAGGGGGTACTGGGGCAGGGGGGCTGGCTGGGTTCAGAGCTGGCACCCCTGCTCGCTGGCTGTCTACCTTGGGGTAGTCAGCCCGCCACCCTGGGCCCAGATCCCACGTCTTGAAATGGGGTGAAAATCTCACCAGATTCACCCAGCTCTTACAAGGAGCAACTGAAAGAGCAGATTAGCACGCATGTGCTGTTCCCAGGTGAGTCACAAAGGTGATGACTTAATCTGTGGGAAGGCATCCGCAGGAGCGAATGCCTGGCCTGGCCAGCACTCAGTCCAACCACCCAGAGGCAGGGAAATGCTCCCGGTACGGGAGCATTCCAGGTGTGGCTCGGGGACAGCTCTGGCCCCTTGGACCCCAGGTTGTGGGCGTGAGCACGAGACGGCTGTGTGGGAGAGGGGAGAGAGGCCCGGATGCCCCCTCGCTCCGCCTCTGTCGCTCCGGGACAGAGGTACTGCCCCCACTCCGGGCAGCCCCGGGGGAGTCTCCTCCCTCCCTCCCTCCCTCCATTTCATCCATTCACCAACATTCCCAGCGGGCCCTGCCGGGGGAAAGCGAGGCCTCAGAGCTGGGACGCAACCTGCAGGCTTGCCACGCCTTGCTGCCAGCACGGGACTCGCGCACGCACACACACACACACACACACAGCCGCGCACACATACACACACGCGCGCGCGCGCACACACACACACAGCCGCGCACCCCTGCACTCACACACACACGCACACACACACACACAGCCGCGCACCACCACAGACTCACACACGCGCGCACACACACGCGCGTGCGCACGCACACACACACGTGTGCGCGCACACACACAGCCGCGCACCCCCGCAGACTCACCTTCTCCAGCAGCTGCCTCAGCTGTCTCGTGCGGGCGTCCCGTGAGCACATGGCCTGCTGGGGGGCGACCACTGTGCAGATGCACCTGCCCTCACTGTCCTGGGCAGAGCTATATACCTGCCAGCTCTCCTCAGGGTTGGTGGGCAGCACCTGGGGGGCGGGGGGGAGGGAGAGAAAGTGAGACCATGAGCATGACCATCCGCATCCAGCCCCCGGGAAAGGGCAGAAGAAAGGGGTCCAAAGACAGCTGCTGACGCACGGGGCAGGAACCCAGACGGCCTCCCATCAGGATCCCCAGGGCTGGAAGGGAGTCAGGCAAGGCTCTTTCAGACATACTTTTTAATTCAAGGGATTTTGAAACTTAGGGGATATTCAGAGTTTGGGCGTCTGACCCAGCTGACAGGTTCGGTGGAAGGGAGGGGTGAGCAGAGGCTGGGAGCTGGGTGAAGGAGCGAGGCAGGGAAGCAAGCGGCTGGTTGACTCACAGCCGCATGTAATTCAGAAACAAGATCTCCTCCCGTAAGGCAAGGCGAGCAGGGGCGGCTGGCGCAGTCGCGCTCCGCTGCTCCCGAAGCTGGGGAGGAACAGCCAGCATTCAGCTGCCTGTTAGCCCAGAGCTGGGATGACCCCAGGCCCTGGCTGCAACCGCGGCCCGCCTGGCGAAGGCCCCCGAGGGGATGCTGGGCTTCCACCCCACGCAGGCTGCCGCCCACGAGCCGTTTGGCAGATGTTGCCAAGTTGCTGATGACACGCTGTGCAGGGGTCACACCCAGCCTCGCCCAGAGGTGTGCCCCAGCACCGGCACGACACCTGAGCCGCACACGGCTGCTGACACACGGACATGGTGTCACCTTGCAGCCCAGCTCAGCAGGTCCCGACCGCCAGGTGCCCAGGCGGACACGACCGGCTGAAAACTGCCCCCTGAGCACAGAGCCTGCAGCCGGCTGGGTGGCCGCAGGTCACCTCCCTGCTATTTTTAGCGTGGGGATGGGGAGAAGTTGGGTGGATGGAGTCCAGGGTACAAATATTGCATTTCATTCATTTCCAGCCCTAGGGGCACAGGACCCTGAGGCAGGAACAAAGTCATCAGGAAGGAAAGGGCTGCATGCAGTCCTCGGAAGGGCAGGTGAGGTGAACGGGTGATGGTCAGAAGGGGTCACCGGGAGAGCCCCTCGGAGCACGGCGCCCTTCACAGCCGAAGGAACGGAGCGGGAGAGGAGCGCGTGTCCTTCACCTCTCCTTTCCGCCGAGAGGGAGCCGGCCTGGGGCGCGCCCCCTCCTCCGCCGGCCCCGCTCCCGCCACTCCCCGAGTCCGCCGCTCGCCCCCTCCCCCAGGGCACCGAGAAGGGACGAGAAGCGCCTGGGGAGGCAGGGCGGGAGGGGGCGCGGAAGGCGAGGCGCGAGTCCCGGGCTGCGCTTCCCGGCTCGACCGGCCCCTTTGCAGCGTCCGCCGCGGGGACCGGGGGCCTTCCGCCCGGGCTAAGGGGAAAGGCGCCCCGGGACTCCGAGGGCAGGAGCTCCCAGCCCGGCCGCCCGGCCGCCCGGCCGCCCGGGCCCCACTCCGGCCGGTCCAGTCCGGCTTTTGCCAAGTGGGCCGGGCTCAGCTCCGAGCCCAGACTGGACCCGGCCGGACGGGGGCCACCGCGTCTCCCTCTGACTTGCTGAGTGACCTTGGACAAGTCCTCAAGACCCCTGCCTCAGTTTCCAAACCTTGTCAACAAGGGACGTTTTAGTTGAATGTGGACTCCAAGCCTCTGAGTCCCGGGCAGGCTCTCGGGAGGCCCCCGCGAGGGGACCGGACAGAGGCGGGAAGCCACACAGAGGGGCCCGCGACCGGCGGAGTGGCCGAGGCTGGGGGCGCGGGGAGCAGGGTCGCCACCGCGGCGCGCGGAAGCCGCGCGGCTCCCGCGCGTGCCCTTGCCCCTGCGCCCTGCTCCCCGCGCGGCGCCCTCTCGCCTGGGGCTGGGGAGCGGGAGGGAGCGGGAAGGAGGCCCCGGCAGGGCGGGCGGCGGGCGCACTTACGCCGGTGCTGCGATCGAGCGTCCCGCCGCTGGCCGCCGAGAGCTTGGTGGTGTTGAGGCCCACCAGCGAGGGCAGCGTCTGGGACATCCAGTTGGTGATCATGGCCATGGTGCTGAGCACAACCCCGATCTTGAGCAGCGGCACCGACATCGCGCCGGGAACGCCTCCTGCGCCCGCGCCGCGCCGGCGCCGGCTCCGCGCCCCGGGCAGCCTTCAGGCGGCGGGCACCGAGGCGGGCAGGGGCGCCCGGCCGTGTCCCCGCGCCCCCTCCGCCCGCCGCCGCCCGCCCGCCGCCGCCGCCCCGCGCGCCCCGGCCATGGCCGCGCCGCCCCGGGCGCCCGGGAGTGTGGCCGCCCCGCCGCTGCCCGCCGTCCGCTGCCGCCCGCCCGCCGCTGGGAAGGGCCGCCGGCTCGGGCTCCGGCTCCGGCTCTGAGTGCCGCGCGGGCTGCGCGCGGGGGCCGCGGCCAGGAGGCGGGGACACGGCCGGGCGGCGGCCGACGCAATCTGCCCAGGAAATGGGTGGATTTTTCCTCTCCACTCCGGCTCCCCGCCGCCCCCTGGCTGCTGGCAGCGAGGTCTGCAGAGCCCCGTCGACCGAGAGGAAAGACAGACCACCGCCCCGCAAGTCATCAAAATCCGCCCTCGGACACGGCGGCCTCGGCGCACGAGCTGGGCGGGCCGCCGCTCTCCCACCCTCAAGGCCGCCGGCCAGCCAGGCCCGGGCACCGCTCTGAGACCCCACCCGCCCACCCACCCAGCCAGGTCTCTCTTAGCTCCCCGGAGCCCAGCAGAAACCCAGACAGCCGAACTCTTGGCTCCAAACACAGCTCGTGGTGGGGGTCTCCAGCCCCAGCGCTGGCGGAGGGGCCAGGGGAAGCAGAGAGGCCCCTCTGGGAGTCCAGGGCAGCCGGGACAAGGCAGGCCTTTGCTGGCAGCCCCGGCACAGCCCAGGGCGGGCTCCCGGGTCAGGCTGTGAGGGGTGTGGGCACGTGGCAGCCAGGCAGGAGCTGGGCGTGGGTTAGGGGCTCAGGCCTCCAAGTGGGGTTGCTAAAGCGGCCCCACCCGGGGTGAGTGTGGTCCAGGTGGTGGGGACCTGGTGGTCAAGGACCTGGGGGCCAGGGGCGCGTGTCCTCACTGGTTCCTCCTTGGGGTTGCGGGGTGGGGGGAGCTGGTGCCAGGCAGAGGGGCAGGGGGGCCGGGCAGGCTGGCACAACTCCCCAGCCCTTGGCAGCATCTGAGCCAGGACATGTGAAGTCCCCTCTGAAGCACAGGCATGATGGAGTCACACATCTTAACAGGACTTTAGAGTTTGCAGGCGGCTTCTGACGGAGAAGAAAGGCGCTCCCCCAGGCCCCCCAGCTAAGGGCAGCACCCCACGACACTCTCTGTCTGCGTGGAAATCGATCTCCCTCCCGGGGCAGGCCAGAAGGGCAGACAGAGGCGGAAAGGCGCTGGCTTTCTGGGGCCACGAAGGAGGGACACCGCCTTCCTGGGCTCCACTCTCTGCTCCCAGGGACAGAGAACGCGAACAGCCACGACGGCCCTAGCCTGAGCGCGGGTGCGAGACCCGCGAGCTGAAGGGGCGCCTCGGGCTTGCTTTTCTGGCTAAAGCAGGGACCTGAGGCAGCCTTTGGGTGGCAGGCAGAGAATCTCAAGAGTTGAGGAAGGGCGCCATCTCCCAGTACCGGCGGGTACTGCAGACTCTGGAGGCTGTCCAGGCTGCCCGCCCGGTGAGGGGGCATCCGTCCCCCACGCCCGCCTCCTTTCTCCTTAAGTGAACGTTAAACACCGATTTAGGGCTTCGAGCTGTGCCGACCCAAGTCATTCACACCCGCTTCCCGCTGCAGAAGGACACGCACCCCCGATTTTGTTGGGACCGCTGCAGATCCCACCCGAGGCTGGTGTCTGCAAAACCCTGACGCCAGCCGTCGGGAAGCAGCAGATCCTTATCACCTCCTGTGTGCACGATGCGGGTACAGCGAGCTGCAGGCCCCGGATCAGAGCCGGGACACGCGGTGCAGCCGGCTGTAATCTCCCAGTTCAGAAACAACACCAGCACGGCGGAGCAGACTCCCAGCACCGTGCAGGAACCAAAACCTCCCGACAACCAACCAAACGACCAAGACAGGCGGCTCAGAGTGGTTGCTCCGTGTTCAGAGTCTGCGGCCAGACAGCCTGTGGGCAGCCTGGGTCCTCTGCCCCTGACTGGTTGTGAGACTTCAGCCAAGGTAGTTAGCCCTCCCATGCCTCAGTCTCCCCATCTGTAAAGGGCATAATAGCAGGGTGTGCGAGGCTTCAGTGAGTCAGCGCAGGAGCAGGCATGGCAGCCAGTACGGGTACCCACCCTCGTCATGCCCGCTTTGCAGAAGACCCAGGGCGCTCGAAGGGGACCCTCAGTGGAGCAACTGACGGGTGGGCATGGGACCAAGCTGGGATTTGATGCCCCCAGACACCCCCGCCGCCTCTCCTAAGAGCTACTTTTGGCTAAAGACCACCCACAAGAGATGCCATTGGTACAGACAAATGAATACGGAGGAAGTACTGCTGGATGTGAAAACAACTCCCAACACCCAGAGCTGTTCCAGGAAGGTGAGCGCCAAACGTGCAGACACAGAGAATTAAAAAAAAAAACCTCTTCTGATCTTGAAGAACTTCTGATCTGATTTCATGGCAGTAGTATCCCAGGGGATTTACAATGGGAACTCTAAATTAGAAGAGAGCCAGCCTGGCTGGGCTGTTCAGCGGAGGAAATGAAATCCAGGTCATTTGCACCGGTGGAGCCAAGTCCTGCTCCCAAGACCTGCTGGGACTAGACACCCCCAGGGTCGAGGGGCCAGCTCCCAGCTCCCCCCGGCCGGGACTCTCCCAGATGCATTGGAGGGCAGGCAATTAGGGCTGGCCTGGAGACTTGAAACCCCCTTATCATATTTCTCCTGAGCCTGCAGTCCTGAAGGGGAGCCTGCATCTCCATAAGGCATGGCTGACAGGACTCCTTTAAAAAGCTTTGGGTTACTCACACCTGCTTGTCAAATGCGGGTTGCACCTTGGAATTCCTGCAGCTCCCAGGGAACTAAGCTGATCCCCCGGAGCTCAGAGCATTTAGAGGGACAGGAAGAAAGCTGACTCAC